TTTACAAGTTACCAATATTCCCTCCAAAATTTGTCGACTCGTCTGCCATCTGTTATGGTGTCGTTTACGCGCCAATGAAACTTTCCATGGCGTCGAATTTCAATCCGAGACTGCAACAGAAATGAAATACAAATTAAATCATAATTAAACAATAATTGATAATAATGAAGAAATATTAAAAGGTTAGAAACACGTATGTACCTCGTTGGTCGCGAAACGCTGACACGTCTTGGCAGGTTCCAACAAGTCTTATTATTTCTTAATTTCGAGTTCCAATAAGAGACTGTAACAGAAACGAAATAACGATGCATTAAAGTACGCAAACGATTATTACAATTAAGTAATGATTAAATCGAAACCGTATTGCAAGAGATCGAAAGTAGTAATACGCGAGTAGTAATAGTGGAAGGATAAACAGGTTAGAAATACGCACCTCGGTCGCGAAACGCCGATACGTCTCGACACGTCTTGCTATGTTTATTTTCAAAGTATGAATGATGGCCGTCCTCTGTGCTCGGCAACGCTCGCGAATTAGGCGGCGGGGCGGGGGAAGCTCCGATGTCTCGCGAAGCTTGTATTACGAACCCGAGGGATGCCTCAAATAGAAACCGCGGATAGACTGATTTTAGCAAATTATTTACAACTTTAACTAGTCAAGGAAACGCGAATAATTCGTACTTTTCAACTCGTATGCATTTACCACAGACGAGGTATGGTCACAGACGAGAATTTGCGGTGTACGTATCAATGAAATACATCCTTAGGAATTTTAATAATCTTGAAATTTTTAAATACTCTTAATCGATTGATTTCTCCAATGAAATTAATCGATTAATGTCCAATGATAGACCCTACAGCTTTAATTCCGTTAAAAAATAATAAAATTTATGTAATTTTATTTTCTGTTTCACTTCCTCTTGTGTTAATTTCTGAATCTGTTGATAACGTTGCGAGTGACACGAAAATGGTAATGGGGTCCCGGGACCCCAGAAACTCCGGCCGAAAAATTACATTAAGTGAAAGGTCTATTCATATATCTCGTCTGTGGTTGCGTAAATACATGTGAGGTGACTATGGAAGAGATTAAAATTCATTTCTGAATCTGTTGGTAACGTTGCAAAAGACACGAAAATGGTAATGTGGTTTCGAGACCCCACAAAAATAGGCCGCAAAAATAAATTGGATGAAGGATCTACTTCTATACCACATCTGTGACAACACTCTAGAATCTTTGATGAATCAATGAGAATCAAAACTAGCCTAGCGAAGAAGCTCTATATTTATGATGACCTATGCAAAGCGGATCGCAGCCAATTTGCTAATAATATTTAGTTTTTAATTAATAATTGAATTACCCAGCTAAGAGTGATACGATTATTAATTAAACGCTAAATAATATTACCCAGGTCTCACCACGAGGAGGTTGCTGCGAATGGAGACCCGCCCTAACCGATTCCCAACCACCCTCCATTAATAAAAATCTGTGACCAACAATCGTTGGTCGAAGAAGAAACAAACGAAAGTGCAATCAACGATGGAAACAATCAACGAAAGAATTTTTGAGAAAGAATTTGTTTCTAAATTCTCATCAACAAAACAGAGAAATAGACCAAAATATTGCCTGCCTGATATAATGATTAATATAGAAAATCAAACTCCTGCCTAACTATAAATCTAAATTCATTTACATCCTACCTATCTAATCATCTAACAAAATACATAGTAAATATATTCTTCCTTGTTGATCCTTCGACGAAGATTTCCTGAAACATACTGTTACATTCTACCTAACTATAAACCTAAATTATTAAAACATAAATTGAGCAATTTGAAACAAAATACATGAAATACATTCTTCTTTCTTCTTTCTTCTATCTTCTATTTATCCCACGATGATTTCCTGAAACACGAACAAAGCAATATCAAACAAAATTGTAAGAATTCTTAATTGTTACCTTTATAGACCTAAAACTTCCATAGGAATATGCTCTGTAACAGAAACTTGTTTAATAGATTAGTAAGAGAACAACACTGAATCAGTAAAACTACAAATACTACAACTACAGGCAAGTGCAGTGACAAAGTAAAAATAGTAGATAATATACGAGGTTACTTTGACTCTAAAATATATTTATCGCGAAATATCTTCTTGCACGTAAATCTAATGATATATTTTAATAAGTAAAGAAAGACTTTGGGTATCCTCGATATCGAAGATACCCAAAGTCGTCGACTAAATTATGAAAATGAATTTAATTATCGAAGAATGTAAAGAACAATCGGAAGCTACTAATTTGACACTCGTTCTAAAGTTAATATAATTATAAGTATTATAAATGATATTAAAATCATGACTCTACTTTCGATCGATATTACGATATTTGTCATATTGAAAATTGCGGCGTGTAAAAGCATCGCACGCTTGAATAAAACGCGACGCGACACGTGCTCATAAGCGTGCAGTGAGTGTGGGTATCAGATTGATCCCCCCCGGCCTTGATTATCAGAAAAGCAAGTCGCGCCCCTGACCCACGTCTATCGGACCTCTCTACGTACAACCGCCGGGCCCTGGAGGACACACGGTCACAACAGGACCCGCTTAGTACTCGAGAACGGATATGGGTCAGGAACTCTCGCCGGAGGTCATTCTCTTTTCCGTATAAAGAGGAGAATATATGCGCTCGGCGAGGCCCCACTTAAGCTGAACCAAGCTGCACCGGGGTTGAAGCGGTAAGAGCTATCACACCTACTACACAGGCGTCACATGTTTCATTCTATCAAACAGAGGTGATCGAGCAAAACTCTCCGATCCTTTCGGTCGAGACATAATCTCGGAAAGCGAGAACCAGAGAACAAGCGAACGAGAGGAAGTTGTACTATTCATATATGTATATGTACTCATTATATATTCATTTTAAAATCAGTGTCAAATTAAAAATGAATCTACTATGACATTCGTCATCTTGAAAATCGCGGTGTGCAAGAAGATTATAATTTTAAACAAAAGATACTCAGATAAAACAATATACATGTGTTACTATTCACGGGTAACATTCATACCCGCGGTCACTACACTTGCCAAAGGTAGCACGTATACAACCAGTCGAAGCTTAAGTCTAGTTTAATTGTACCAAGCAATTATTTTGTTTAACCCCTTGCCTTACGATTTAATTTCCAACTGTGCGTGCCAAAAGGTCCAAGGTCCATAGGTCCGGTAGACTTATCACATCTTTGAGACGTCTTGTTCATGTTTGGCCCGGTAGACTTATCGCTTCTCTGAAACATCATTGTAAGCTGAGGTATTAAAAAGGAGGTTCTTAAACACTTAAAAATGATCTATCACCTAGCTAAAGGGAATTGAACAGAGTATATTGGCAATATGTTACAAGAATTTAAGCTGAAACGTAAAAATAAACATCTTATATTCATCAGTGTCATCGAAGCAAACATGGTATATGCATTGACACCATGTTATACATGTCAAAAGGGGCATTGTTATATTCATCAGTGTCATCGAGACACCAAGTTGAATCAACACCAAACAATCAAACGAAATGGAAAAATCAAACAAAGTATCTCCGTAGAATGTTACGAGAATTCGAGCAAGAATATAATATTACATTATTATATCTTGCAATATTATACATATCAAAGCAGTCAGATACATAAATAAAGTTGAATTCACATCAAACAAACAAATAAAAATAATAAAATATAAATAAGTGGAGTGGACTTACTACTTGTTGTCAGTATATAGGGTAGTTACCACTGGATCAGCTGTAAAGTAAAAAAATATTCATATTATAGCAACGTCAGTTAGGCAAGCAAGGCAAAATCAGTTCATTGAAACGACATTGGTATCAAACGTTAGAATAGAAGAGGGGAGAGAATTTTTAAACAGTTCTTACCGTAGTCATCACCGTCCGGCACTGGTCAGTAGTGGTCAGTAGTGGTCAGTAGTGGCAGGAACGCGAGCCAGCACTGGTCAGTAGTGGTCAGTATTGGTCAGCCCTGGTCAGCCATGGTCAGCGCTGGCCAGTAGTGGTCAGCAGCGGCCAGCAGAGGTCCCCGGTTCACTTCAGGCGATTTGTACACTCCCGAATCCGCGACGCGACTGAAGAATTCTTCGCAGTGACCCTGCTTATACGTCTAAGGTAATGGAAGGGTGGGGAGACCAGTCAGAGCCAAAGCTGGAGTTAACAGTTAAGACTGGCTTGTCTACGAAGAAACTATTTCGATTGGTCCCACCTCTTGACCATTTCTGGCTCCTCACTGGAATGCTGACCTCGATGTCAACCTCACTGTTGACCACTAGTGACCATAAGCTAGTCATTGTTGATCATCGACCCATTAAAACCGATCCATTACGAAGATTAAAGCCTTTTTACGAGGAGCCCCTTACAATTTGATGCATGATCTTTTTAACATTTTGTTCCACTTTGGAAGAGTGCATCTCCGCAACCAAAAATAATTTTTCCAGAACGATTTGAAATTTTTTGTGTTTTGCAGAAAAATTTCTGCACCTACCCCCGTCAACAATATTTTGAACAGGCTTGAAACACAGACGAGATTCTCGTCTATGGTATGGTATATGAGTAAACTTTTCACCTTATGGACTTTCGCGGCCGAATCTGACTGCCATACCGACCTGAAAATTCGGAGCTGATTTTAGCGGCCTCATTTCATGGATGGCGGTCAGTTGAGAAACTATGCACTGAATTAGTATTGATGGGCAGGCAGCTGTAGTGTGTGCGTAAATACATGTGAGTTGACTATGGAAGGGATTAAAATTCATTTCTGAATCTGTTGGTAACGTTGCGAATGACACAAAAATGGTAATGGGGTTTCGAGACCCCATAAAAATGGGCCAAAAAAATACATTGAGTGAAAGATCTACTCGTAAAACACGTCTGTGATAAAATTTAATTTCGCAGCCAACTATCGATATAAAATATAAATAAATGGAAAATATACTAATTTAATAATCGACGTAATATTAGGTACGAAACAATCATATTGGACCTCGAGGCTCAACTATCTCGCGCGAAAAAGGACCTCGACGAAGCTCTAACGATAAAATCACTCGCAAAAGAAAAATATAAAAGGTTTACAATTGAATTTGATCACGATGCAACTCAAAGCTACAATTCTTAATACAATCAATACAGATCGTATCGTTGATTTCTCCGTAGATCTATGGAAAGTGTGAAGACGGAAGCTCGCAAAGAGATCGAGATGTTGCAAGACAAAATTGTGCGTATTTGTACGTCCGTTCTGGAAAATTTCGGTCCTCGCGTGCTGGCCGAGAAGAATAGAAGCAATTACCAAGTCAAGCGTGGCAAACATTTAAAGTGCCACGAGAAGATTTCGAGTAAACTGTACAAAAAGGTACACGCTTGAATATAGATGCTATGACCACGATAATTTCGTTTCGATCTTGTCAGTTGCGGATGGCAGTGGCGAAATCGAAGAAACTGAAACGCGAATTGACGACGGTAAGGCGGGAGCTGGAAAACAAATCGAGGAAATACGAATCGATCAGCAAGTGCTTCGACAGGCTGAAACAAGAGACTGATACTGCCGAGACGAATTTGAACAAGCTCATATCCGAGAACCTCGAGCTCAAAAAGAGTATGGAGTACACGCGGGAGTGGATGGAGCACAATGTGGGAAAGGATCATCACGAGAAAACCAACGCCCTACATTTTCGAGACGCGCAAAGGAGCAGGGAACTAACGAACCTGAAGAAGAAGAGCGAAGAAGACGTTGCAACCATCGCACAACTGCGTAATAAGTGAGTTTAGATTTCGTGAGAACTTCAGTGTTCTCCAACATGGCGGGCACGACACCTAGAACGAGGTCGCGAATGGAACTTTGAATTTTAAGTAAATACTTCAGGTTACTGCGATCGGAATCAGCGAATGCCAACAAGGGATTTTTATTAAACAGTTACAAAAGTCAATTGTCAGATCTGAACAAGGAAAAAGGTCAGCTCTTGTCGAAGATAAGCAGCTTGGAAAACGAGATCACTGTCGCGAAAAACAACAATTCGCAACTAAAAGCAAAAGTATACGTTACTAATCAATTGATTGATTCGCTCTTATCGATTAACCGTGTTTAACAGATTTCAGTTTTGAACAACGAGAAGTCGAAGACAGACATTACGGAAAAGGTAAGGGCGTAGTTATCTATCCTCCAGAGGGTTACGATTCGACTAATTTGAAAATAATTACAGATGGAAATGCAATGTGCTAACTGTAAGAGATGCGAGGAAACGGTGCAGCAAGAAGCTAATCTCATCAAAGCTGGCTACGAGAGTACGATCAAATCTGTGAAAACGAAAATGATCGCTGCAGAAGATCAGAATATTGAATTCTCGAAAGCTATAAAGGTATCGTCGATTTAATATCGTTACTAAAGAGTCGCGATTCCCAATTTTAATATTGTAAAATCCAAAGATCGTTTCAAAGAATGAATTCCTGTACCGACAAGTTTGCTTACCCTATATTGCTTTGTATTAGAATTTTTTGAAGAGAGTTTACGACTATCGTGACGGTCACGAAACACAAAGAAGTTCAAAAGAGGACGAGGCTAGCGAAAAAGAGGCACAAGAGACTGCGTGTAGTATTTTAAACATGTCACCGGAAGAACTGTCCGGCTTTATCAATGGGAAAACACCTAATTCGGTAACTTAATCATTCATATTCCTTTTCTCACTAAATGTTAACAAATTTAATGGTTTATAATGTTTAAAAAATTCTTACAGATTAACTCTTGGATACTCGAATTGAACCGGATAATCGGGAAACATAATTTCTCCGAGAATTTATCGAAGTTCTTATTCAAAAAGACAATGAAGAAGATAAAGACGTAACGGAGGATCGAAAGGGCACCGGTTCCATAAATATTTTTCAAAATCGTTCAACTGTATATTAAGAAACAAATGTACAATATGATAAAAAATTCTAATTCGATTCACGATTCTAATGTCTCTGCCTACGATCTCGACCAATATAGCGATTCAATGTGTATAAAAACAGTATAAAAACGATTGGAAACCGTCACCTACTCTGTAAATATTTTTCATTGATCACCCGCATCAAACCCCGATATTAAAAGTATTTGAAGGAATTCAAAGTAGGTAAGTTTCTTTAGGCAATGTATTTGGTACAATGAAGAGTAAATGTATAAAACTACTACGATAAAATAGTAGTGAATATTAATACGACCGATGTTTCTCTTTTAATAAAATGCGCGAAACGTCGCGTATAGTATGTTTATAGTTCATAAATAGCGATAAATACGTAGGAAAAGTAACGGAAATACCGCGGATCACAATACGTTTAATCATACTTCGCTTTATTTTTAAAGCAAATTCGGTAAAAACAGTCGTCGTTAATTTCTATAAGTAGGGTGCAGAAGCACCGAACTGGGCCAAAAAAACCTCCAAAAATTAGAATAAACACGATCGTACAACAAAACTTTCCTAGCTCCCTAGATGATACACGATCATACTAAAATTCGCGGCTAAAGTTTCATAGAAAAAAAACAGTATCTTTTCGTCCAAGTGTGTAAGTATTAAAAAAAAAAAATTCGGTGTTCAATTGTCGCTCTGGAGCTCGCTGGAGCCAGTGGCATCCGGCGCCTTTTGCAGCTGTGCGCTCTGGAATCTCTCGTAGCCGTTGCTATCCCCGAATATCTTCCTTCCAGGGATCCTTTCGTCGTCCTTCACGCTAACCTCGGTGCCGATCTGCACCGGCCAAGGCAATTTCCCTTCGTTTCTGACCGACACCTGATTAGCCAACTTCCTGTCGTTGTTCTGATCGAACGGATCGTTATTGCGGAGGCTCTCCAGCGTCGCCTTGCGTCGACCTTCATCCTCGGGATAAGGATAGGGTCTGTCGACGAAGCTGGATCTCTTCGAATAGGAATCGTAGCCGTCGTACAGGTGTCTGTACCGATATCTGCTGGGGTCCACGTTCCCTGGGATGCGTTTGTAAGTCCCGTCCCTCGAGACAGGCGTTCTGGTTGCGTCGTAGGGTCTTGGATAGTTCCTCAGGTCCACCGGTTTCCTGACGATCTCTGGAAGCGTCGCGTAATAGATGATCCTCTTCGGTTTCGGCGTCGGTCTGCTCCTTCCGTAGAGGTCCAGATCCTCGTCCCTATATCGATCGTAGTAGTAAGAATAATCCTGAGGCATACGCATGTAGTATTCTCTCTCCATTCTGTAACGATCTGGGTAGTAGTAGCTGTACCCGCGACGGTAGCTCAAAGGATCGTAGTCTCGTTCTCTGGCGGCGTTCCTGTACCAGGGGAAATCGTACTCGTCGTAGCCTCTGGTCACCGGCATGTCCCGGGCCTCCCGGTGATCGTAGCTCCTTCTATGATGACTGGTCACGAAATCCGCCCGCGGAGCGTGGTAGCTTCTCGCGTTAGGGCTCTCCTCGTCGTCCACCGTCTGTTGGATCATCTGGTCCAAACCACCGCGCCGTGAGAACTCTATGGACAGCGGCTGGGTCGACCAGGAGGTCTCCGGTGAACTCAAACGAACCTCCCGAACGTTCTTCGCGCTCGCGATCTGCTCCATTTTCGTCTCGTTCTCCGCGTCGCGTCGAACTCTCGCCACTTCCGGCCCGTCTTCGTTGTCCTCCGGCCGCAGGAACGTCATCAAGATTCCCGTTTCGACGTCCTCGAGCCCATCGTTCGAATCATCGCGGTTCTCGAGGAACCGTTCGAATCGATGGCGCGAACTTTCGATCGGTAAAAAAGAACGCTCGGTCGGGGGAACGACGTCCGATTTTATCGACTCGGTCTTATCGAATTTCGGAGCCCTCTGAGTGTTCTCTGGCGGGTCCAGGCGACCGACGCCGCTCACGCTGCGAACTTCGAAAGCGGAAGCGTCCGATCGCGGCCATGTTGGATGACTCCAGTGATCGGTCGCTTGCGGAACGACCTGCCATGCTTTGCCTATCCCTGTCGCGTTGATTACCGACAGCAGAGACAGCAACGGATATATTTTCAAGAACAGGCGCATGTTTATCTAAAAGAAATGGGAATTATAACGATAAATTAAGCTCGTGCTTGGGTATTATTTAATCCTGCGTACCGAAGCTCGTTTGAAATTGTATAGAATGTATATCGAAGCTTCTGACGATCGAATGGCGAGACGCAACCACGTAGAAACGATCGTTAGTTCAAATAAAGCATGAATACCAGTCGGAGCTTTCACCGAAACGACGAAACTGTGAAAACACGGCGACGGACGTTTAATGACCGTTCCGTCCGGTAGCCACGCGGTCAGATGAGATCGTCCTCGGCTGTAGAACCGTCAGTGTCCGATTCCCCATAACAAATATAATTTCCCCAGCCGTTTCCGCGGTATTATACCGAGTTCCGGGCAACACGTAGATCCGGTCGCACGATTGTTCACTCGACTACATTTACGGTGGCATTCTTCCCCGCGAAATCGAACTAGAATTCGAGTTGCTAATAGAATGTGCAACCGTTCGCGCTCTCCGCACGAAACAACAACGAGAGTTCAATGCACCATCGAACTGGATACCGATTCCGGTTATGAAATTTCGAACGACAATGGAACCACGCCAAAAATTCCACTGTAACCGTGAACAGTATGTTTTCCATTGATATCAGAAACTAACACGTTTCTAGTGCAAAATGAAGTTTCATAATTATTCCGATACTCTAATGTTTCGCACGCTCTTGTGACCATAAATCCATTCTGCTGCCATCTGATAATTCATAACGTATTGTGTGAGTTTATTTCACCGAAACAATGTAACGTTCTGGTAGTTTGGAGATTATTATTTATGACGGCTGCCGAAGAAAAGTACTATTTCCATAACCTGACCGAGAGATCCGATTTGCATTTTAACAGTTCGTCGACGAAGGCGGATCGGTTCCGACCGGTATTCTGTCTTTGTCATGGTCTCTTAGCGTGCACCTCACACGGTTTGCGGAACGTCAGGCTACGGATATACCCTCGAAAAAAAACAAGGAAGTAAAGAATAGGACTTCTTGCGTTGCCATAGCGGAACAAATCTTTAGGAGGATCTTCTCCGTTAGCATCGGCATCACACGGTTCTGCTCTCTGTTTTACAGTTACCAGTCGTTCCGGGACCGTTTTAGTTTGCAATTACATTTCGGTCGGTACCTTAATTGCCAGGTCTGGGATCAAGATTTCGGCGATGGAGACAGATAAAAAACGACTTCGAAATACCGTAACGTCGCCGGAATCATCTAATTGCTTACTCATGGCGATGATTTATCGAAATAGCGGCGAACTTAGCTACGAGGCTACGTTGTTTAAGAAACATGGACTTTTGAATCCCCCTTTGCACAAAATACGAGTTTTTAGAATATAAATAAAGACACTTATAAATTGCACAAGCCCTTTATTAACTTTGTTTACTTGTAGTCAACATTATTGCAAAATAATGTGATTCTGAGGTATCGACGAATATCCCATCATTGTGCTTGTGTATCGTGCGTTTCAAAAATATAAACAAAATTTTTAATTACGGGTACAAGTTGTAGGACCACTTTAGCATTGCAATAACACGATGAATAAATGAATAAATTAAAAGAAAGTCTGCCTATCTGAATAACTTCCTGTTGTGGGAGCAGATTTACCGCAACGCCAAATTAATTTAAACAAATTAGATGCCTATCGAAACCGAGAGATAAAATGTAAGTACCATGCATGGTTAAAATAAAATTAAGATTTGTTAAAATCTTTTGCTAAAATAATTTACAAAACTGATCGTCAGTCAAAACTGAGAGAAACAACGCGAGTTCCATAGATGGTCTACGCAAAAAGGAATTGATTTGGGATTTCGAAAAATGAATATAAAATTAAAAGAAGGAACGTACCGAATTTCGAAGCAAGTAAACAAACAAGTCAATTGTTAAAATCGAGAGAAATGGTTTTACCTGAATACCAGAGTGTCCGCGGCTTCCGAATGTCGTTGACTGTCCGAAGCTACTACGATTACTACGCTCGACGAACTACGGCTTCCCGGTTTACCCCGGCTTCGTATCTGCATACCGTGCTCTTGTAGCTACTAAAACACGCTCACCCCTCTACCTGGATAGACCTTAACTACCGGTCTCAATTGGTCGCCGTTTTTAACTGTAATTCTTGTACCGAAAGATAGGTAAGTAAATGGCTTCCTCCGAGGCGCGCCAAGAGGATCGAAGAAAATCGTTCGGGCAAGTTTATCGAAACGAGCAGAGTAACGGGTTAACGCGACATCTTTAACGGTGGAATTCTGGAAAACCAGTTTCCTGGAACGTGCAACAAGAATCGTATAACTTTTTCCATTGTACGTGCAAAAATATGCCGATTCTGGCACACCGTGATAACATTGGTTGCTCGCTATAATCGGTGCGCTATGTTTTTCAAACATTCTGGGTGAGGAAAACTTGGGTTGGGTCGTAAAATGACCTTGTTCGCTGAACCTGAACAAATAAACAAATTTCAAGAGTAAAGCGTTTCGTTTATACGTATGTGTAGGTACAGGGGGTCTTCCTAAAATAAACGATAAAACTTCTGTTGTATATTCTATTTGCTGTAATAATAAAAATATTATCAATGTAGAAGTAAATCAGTTTCACTTTGTGTATCCGTGAAATAATTCGCTGAGTGTGAAAAAAGAAATAGAGTACACAGACAAAAAAGCCCTGAATGAATTGCGAGCAACATAATACATAATAGCGCTGTCATGCGCCGCGGTGCATAAATTAGGGTAGAATCAAACGTCTGTAGTACAAAGATAACAATAAATAAAAGTCCTTCGCGGTACCAACAATTTATTATATAATGAATCCTAAATATAATCAGAAAACATTGTTGTTTACATTTCACACAGAGCTAATGTCAACTAAAAATGTCCCCAAAGCTTCCAATTCGTTTAAATCAAGAAATTGTCCAATTACTTACCGGGAACATTCCTTAAGGTACATTTACACGCGGTTCCAAGAGAAATGTTCGTTCCATGTGAACGTATAGTATTGATTTTAGTCCATTGTCCATTAAACAAAAATACGAACTGCTCACTATACGTCACTAGCAGGTTACAGTAGGTTGGTGACTTTTGAACGTTACGTTTTCGTGTACGTTCATGGACGTAGCACTTGAACAATGTTTAAATAATTCTCAATTTATTCTAAATTGATTACTGAACCATGGTCGTGAATCAATGTAAATAATTTAAGTGGATATTTATTTATATTTTAAATGTATCGACTGTAAATTCAGTCCTCTGATTACAAAAAAAATGGCAGAAGAAGGAAAGAAGATTTCCTTTGGCTTCGCGAAGTCTCTTAAAAAACCTGCTTTAAAGAGTATCGTGCCACAGGAACAAAAAAAGATCGATTACATCGAGTGTCTCGATGAGAAAAATATTAAAGTAATAGGGTAAGTTAAACGGTAATAACTTACACGAATACCTAACCTCAACATAACCTAAAAAAGTAACTACACATTAACTGCTACAGAAGAAATCTACAGAAGCGTTTCTTATTTTAGTAAAGAAGAGAAGAAGGATGAACCTCTTATTATACCTCTACTGGGTTCTAAAACCTGGCACGATAGGATTGTCAACAAAATTGACGCAGACATTTTTGAACCTAAAGCGATTAAGGAGGAACCGGTAGATATTAAGCAGGAAGAACTGCCAGAGTTGACAAATGGAAACACATTGTCAAAAGATAGTGTAGTAATCAAGCAGGAATCTGGAGAGAATAATGAAAATGAAGTTACTTTAGAGGAGCAAGCAGCTAAAGAAATTATCGAAGAACTTAAATCTAACGAGAAACAACAAACTAAAACAAATTCTTTGACTTTGCCAGTAGTAGAAGATCAATCATTAAGAGGCAAAGAACAGGTAAAATTAGCAGTTAAATTGAATATGTTATCATTAAATATATGTATATTCTACTATTCTACTAGTTTAATTTTTTCAGTCTTCGTTAGAAGATTATGAAAAAATTCCTGTAGATGCTTTTGGAGTAGCAATGTTACGAGGAATGGGTTGGCAACCTGGAAAAGGCATTGGGAAAAATGAAAAGTATGGTCTTTATTTTAAATAAGATTGTATGTTTAATACACATACTATAAGATAATTTGGGAGCAATTCTCAATTCATTCATTTCTGAATGATGATGAATTTCTCAATTCATTCTGTAATTTCTTATTATCATTGCTACAGGCTTGTGGCCGCTGTTATACCAGAATTACGTCCAAAAGGCATGGGCCTTGGAGCTGATAAAGTAACATCTCAAAAAAACAGTAAAGATTCTAAAAAACCGGACGAAGAACTCAAAATTGAGAAGGGAACTTTCGTAAAAATCATAGCCGGAAAACAAAGCAATAATTATGGTCAGATAGAAGGATTCGATGACGACGCGGGAAGACTTATAATAAAACTGGCTCTGGGAGGAAATTCTATATCCGTCAATGAATTCATGGTGCAGCCAGTCACTAAATCGGAGTATTCGAAAAATGCAAAAGTTCTAAGTTAGTATAGATAGTTAACTTTCACCAAGGGACTTTTGAAACAAAACAATACGCTTATCTTTATACGAAAATACTGATATAACGAATTTTTTAACGGTATTATAAATATCAAAAGATTTCATTCATTGTTTTAAAGGTCTCTTAATTATTTACAAAAAGTTTGATAAATATAGAGATTTTAGCCTTTAGTGTTTTATGGGATTGATTTCAGATACGAAGAAATATGAAGAGTATAAAGATAAAGAATCTAAGGAACTCAAGCATAAAGCAGTTAAAAAGAAACGATCTTCTTCCGAACATTCTGAAAGTAGCGACGACGATGACAGACCTAATGTTGATGGAAAAAGAAAGAAAAGTACTAAACAAGAAAAGGACAAACATAATAAAATAGATGACAAAAAATCGAAAAGTCGCAAAAGATACTCGGAATCCGTGAGTGATGACGATGGCACTAGCGATCATGGAAAAAAGAAGAAAAAAGATAGAAGCAGATCCAGTAGCAGTGATTCGCACGAATTAAAAAAAGCGAAAAAGTCTAAGAAGTCAAAAAAACACAAAAAACAAGACAGTTCACCGGAAAGAGCAAGCAAAAAACACAAGAAAAAAGATAAAGAGAGAGAAAAAACGAGAGATAGAAAATCGAGAGATTCTACGGACAAACGAAAACATAAGAAACGGAGAAGATCAAGATCTCGATCTTCCAACAAACGATAACACTTTTCGGGAATGTACTCTATTATTTTACTTTCGCGATGAATTGTACAATTTTGTTTATACACATTTTGTAATAAAACTTATTTTTACAAAATTATATTTTCTTTCTTACCCTTAGCTATAAAATTACGAAACGCAGAGGTACATTGATGTAAGTTTGGTTTTAGATATTTAAATTATTATTTTAAATAATCACTTTATAAAATTGTATTGTGATAATTATTTGAAAGATTATTGTCTATATTCGACTTGAAAAGGTTATCTACGAACATTATCATAAATGAGTTATTTCGAAATATAGTTTGCTTACGTAATACTTGATAAACCAAGAAAGCGTTCATACATAACCTAAAAAAATATCATGCTACGCGCAAACATCGTAAAACAAGGATTACGGACAATGTCGAGTATGTATGCTTACTTTTTTTGGAATATTGCTGACGAGACATGATAGAATATGCTACAGAACGTATTTAATTTTGCCAACATTTTTTCCAGCATTTCGTTTGGCGCTAGTACAGCTCGCCGTTGGCGAAAATAAATCTACGAACATTGCGCGAGCGATTTCGTTCATCGAACGTGCGAAGGAACAAGAGGCTGACATTATCGTGCTTCCTGAATGTTTCAATTCACCGTACGGAACATGTAATATCTGTTTATTAATTCTTTATACTAAATTCGACTAAAATGAAGGAAACAATTCTAAAAACGAACAAAGTATTCACCCTATCAGCTAAGCTTTCGCGCGCAAATTGTAAGTAGGGGGACCATAAAAAATTTGTCTTCGATTGTTTTCACAATTATCATATTTCTTGTCAAATACTCACTTTTTATCACACTAAACACTTCACAGTAACGAAGTAAGCCCATCTTAGTAATTTTTATAGATATTATACGATACTTAAAGCACTTTTGGTAGAGAGAACACTTTCGTACGAACTACCCTTGCCTGTGTTTCAAAAGCTACTGACGAAGTCGTTGAGTGACGAATTTTTTTCGAAAATTCGCGCAGAATGAGTTCAAACTTTAATGATTTAAATATTCAGAGAGTACTATTTAAATATTATTCGAATATTAACTATTATAAATATTATGTAAATATTTAACATGTTAAACATGGAACTAGTTTTGACTCATTTCCGTTTAGGCGGCAAAAGTACCGGAAGTGCATATGCGTATAAACACGATAACGAACTAAAAATCTCATTTTTTTTTAAACGTTTGAATAAAATGTGTAAAATAATATAAAATATTTAGAGTTTTATTAAATCATTGTAGTTAAATACTTAAATTTATTATGCCCAAGCAATAAACTTGCACTTACCTTTACTACAATACAATGTATACGTATAAAGAAGAGTTGCAAATTTTTGTAATAAGTATACATATACATATATGTATAAAGGGTTGATAGCATTTATTGATTCATATTTTTGAACGCAGCACATTTTGCAAAATACGCTGAGAGCATTCCGGATGGCGAAACCAGTGTTGCATTATCGGAGGCAGCCAAAAAGAGCAGCGTTTACGTAATCGGTGGTACGATACCCGAAAGGGAAGCTAATAAATTGTACAATACGTGCACTATTTGGGCGCCCGATGGAACTCTGATAGCGAAGCACAGGAAGGTAAGCAATTTTAATTTTTCTTAATTTTCTCCCATCGTAAACGCCGTACTAAACAATCGTCTCGAGAATTTATTTTTTTCTGTTACCAGATGCACTTATTCGATATCGACATCAAAGGAAAAATGACTTTTCGCGAAAGTGATTCGCTAAGTCCCGGAAATTCGTTAACGACTTTCGAGGCGAATGGCTGCAAGATAGGCGTTGGCATCTGCTATGATATCAGATTCGAAGAAATGGCACGTCTTTATCGGAACAAAGGTACGGTCATCGTTGCTACTATATTCATGCTCCAATTCATTATTCAGAGCACATAAGATATCATATACATACGTATCATGTAATCTCATCGTCACTGAAGCAAGTTTTAATGTATTGAAACTGTTTCCCTGTTTACCTGTTACGTCATCTTCGATACACATACCGCATTCTGCTATTCTCCGTAGTATGGAAACAATTTCTTGTACATCCGTTGTTCCGACATATTTTATACCTTCGCAATTATTCTTTGTTAACTGAGCTAATAAAAAGACTCTCACGGAATGTACGGAGGGAAGGAGAAAAAGTTATAGCAATAATTCTACGTCAAGTTGACCTTAAAATAAAGTTAAACCCTGTAAAATATGACGACAAGATTGCTCCGATATAAGACCCGCGTAAGGGTTAAAGTAAGTCGTAGAACGTGGTCCGAGAAATTACAGGGTGGCCGGGGTATTCGTAGTGTACATACTTCCTGTTTCTCTGGGTCAGGTTGCCAGATGCTGATATATCCAGCGGCATTCAATATGACCACCGGACCATTGCACTGGTCGTTGCTGCAGCGTTCCAGAGCAAATGACAATCAATTATATGTCGCTTGCGTATCACCAGCTCGTGGTTCTCCGCCCGGTTACGTCGCGTGGGGGCATACCCAGTTAACCAACCCTTGGGGAGAAATTCTTCACGAGCTAGATGCCACCGAGGACATGCTGGTCGCCGATATAGGTAATTGATACTTTGCACCGATACACGAGATCCGTCATTCCACTTATTTTCACTCTTGATCAACGATCGGCGTGCCTCTGCTCTATTTCGATGACGCCATTACGCGGGATTATCATTTATTATAAATTCCTCTGGACACGGCGGGACAGTGGACGTTGCTAAATTCGCAGATAAATGTACGATCTTTCTTTTCTTTTAGATACGAAGGTCGTAGATGAAGTGAGGACTCAGATACCCACGTTCGCTCAGAGACGCACCGATTTATACGATACCGTTTGGAAGAAGGACTAACGCAGATAATTTTAAGCATGCTGGAGAACTACATTCGCAAAAATACTTTTTACATTTGTATTAAATAAAGCACAAAGCATATACAATTGAAACTTACCTGGAAATGACTTTAAGGGATGGATAGGTATATTACTGAGCAGGGTTCTGATTTATTAAAGAATGAACTTTCTTTTACTTGTAATAATAAACATCAATAAATGAATTTCTTCTTATAACTTCTATCCAAACACCAGAACCCTGCCCTAAGAGCACGATGAAAGACACCAACCCGCGTCGTTTTCAGTATCTTTAATATCGATCGAATGAATTATTATAATTTTTAATGGGTTCGGAATGATTACACATACATAAAAGGCCCCTCGATGATAAAACGATGTAATCACAATTAAAGGTATTTACGTATCATAGCAATATTAAATCTATCGTCTAAATGTTTACATTGAAATAGATTAATATAATTCTCTTTACATGTAAACGTTAATTTAAAGTACAAGCTTAGAGAAATTGGTCGATTAATCACGATTAGTATACAGTGTTCTCGACGGAAAAGTCAAAGAGCAAAAATGCGACGGCGCTCTAAACACGGAAACGCCACGGCTGCTCGTGAAAGGCAAGAGAAACACAAACCATCCCGTTAATGGTTCTATCGACGAATTAGGGTTAAAAATGACCCGGATCGTCGCGTCGGCGCCAAAAATCTTTCCTACCAGACTCCACGAAATTACAACTTCTTTCGGTGCCTCCGTCCGTCCTTCTTTATTGCACGCGTTACGTATCGTTGCCAGAAAACTCCTCGCGAAAACAGAAGCAATCGATTCGAGTAACGTACGATCTCGAACGACATAGTGCGCCCTAAAAGTCAAGCGATCCGGAATTTAACGCTCGCTCCTCTAACAGCTTCGGTTCCGGACTAATCGCGGACCGCGTGACTCTTTGAACTTCTTAGAAATTACGGGTACGATATCTTAATCGAAAACGAGCTTAAATATCGAGCACGAACGGCTCGCCTTACTTTACATTTTTAAATAAAAAATAAATACTCTGGGCGACCTCGCGCTCGCGCGAAGCCTTCGTTTATTTACTTTAAAAGCCGACCCGCCATAACCTACTCCCTTATCGTTGCTTTTATTTTAAATCTGCAATGGATCTATTTACAATTTAAATTTACCTCGACCATCCGTTGAATCGACAGCCCTTTATAAATACGTAATGAATGCGGTACGTGCCTACTGCCCCGTGGAAATTTTCGGCCGTCAATTTGGTACACGTGATCGTCGACTCCATCGAGGCATCGCGTTTCTAAAAAAAATCGTCGAAATCGCTAAATTAAATTGTCGTTTAAAAATTGAAACGATGCCCCAGGGCATCGACGATCGCGTACACTGTTTCCGAGGACGTTTTTTTTCGCCATTTGTCTCCCTTTCCCCCTACAACGGATGCTCTCTTTCCATAAATTGTAAGCGAAAGGATAAAGATGGACTATTGTCGCGGCATAATTCACGTTGGGATTTAAGCACGGACTGGATTTGGACGCGTCTTCGTAGTGGATGATTTAATCAATACCCTGTACGAGGAGCAGAGGATCTTAAATTAACAGCAATTCCTTCGACAGTTTTTAAACTTTCTAATAGTGTACCGATATCATCGCACCGTCTAGACGAAACGAAAATCAATTCTCAAAATTTGCCAGGAATTAAAATACCAGTTAGCGTAAATCAGAGCAAACGTTCGTCGTTTGCAAATACCTCGAAAGTCTGACTTAACAAGCCTAACAATCAAAACGTTTCGATACTATATATCGTATGAAAGTGTCGCTGGTGAAGTTGTATCGTTAAAATCTTACTGTTTCTGAAAGAAACTCTAATACACATCGAGACATACAGATCGTATACGAGATAAATATGCTCCAGGAGTCTATGTGTATGGGCACAGGAATGAAATAAAATTAATTCGTCGTAGAAATTTTTAGGAAGTACTTAACGTAACGTCGAACCACACGCATAGATGATAAATGAATTTTTCTCATTCTCGATCGCGCGTTTGCAATATTTTGCGCGCATCGAACGACGCTTTTAGTCGCGTTCTTTCGTTTTTATCGCCGATCGCAATTTATTTAATCAAACGTCCCTTTTTACGTCTAATTGCAACGAGTAAAATTCGTTTGGAATTTATCAGTTCGCGAGGGAACGTGTACATGGAAATGGAATAAACTCAAGGGCCGTGAGTGCCGAAACATTGAGTCCCGCGACACCTGCCTACGGCCTTGCTCTTTTGTTTTCCCGCGAAGCATGGACGAATTAAAATTGCTGCGCACCGAGCAAAGAAGGGTGCTCGACGAGCGTGGGCGTGAAAACGACAAAATCTTTGCCGAGCAAAAAGTCGAATTGAGTAGGGAACGAGTGTACCGCGAAGTTTACTTCATCTTTCGTCCATTTCTCGCTACCCACGCGGCTCGAAATAACGAATAACAATTAAAAAAATACTATTATTTAAAAATATCTCCAAGACTTTGTAATTTCGATGTTATAATATGCATCGCGTAGAAATGAAAATTTAACGATTCAATGATACCAGTTATTTCCGCGTTAGCGCAGCCTCGAACGATTTATCGTTTGCAAAGGAAATTCGTTGTCCGGTCGATAGAGTCAGAGGCGATGTTCATTCCTACGGCTAAAAAATTCAGCTCCCGCGAACCAGGCAAATTCGAATTATGCATGCACACATGAATAAAACAGGAACGCGAAGATTTCTTTTTTTTTTCACCTCACCGGTTTCATACACAATTTAATATTTTAATTTCGTCGACGAAACTCGGATTTTAACGACCTCCCGGGCCTTTTAAAGCAATTAAAACTACGCCCGTCGCAAAAGAAACGTAAGTATGAATAACGCGACATAATTACTGTAACCGCGGTCTTAACATATTTCGGCGAACAACGACGCCGCGAAACAACGAAACTCCATTTACGTTAGTGGTTGAAATTATTACACGGCGAGTAATAATTTCATCAATCATTCGTATTTGTCTCGTTTACGGTAATAATCGAATAGTACTCGTCACGTAATTGCCACTAGACCGCTTTAATACAATCGACGAACTGTGTGCGTAAATAATAAAGCTCCGGTATGATTAAACCGATATGACATAAATAGAGGTCTGTTTAGTTGCAGTTCGTTAAAACACTGACTGACAAACTTCGTCGTCTTAAAGTGGGTCAGCGAAGATCAGTATTCTCGGTCCTTGAATAATGTTTTGCGTATCGTGGCCGAATCTCCAAGATATACATATACTGTTGAACGTCAGACTAGCAGAAAAATTCATTTCAACAAAATTCTAACAGTTGAAAATCGTTTCACTAACTCTGATATTCAATAACGTAAATCAAACGTCGTGCTTAAAAATCATGCACGGTGTTTGACGACTCGTAACCGGATTTTAAGGATGCATCGAGCCCACGATACGTAATTTGACCTGTATTAGCAATCCAGTCGCTAAATATTATTCAACGTTCTGGTTTAGAACTGACGTAGATCGTCGTCCACGCCGCGATTGGCCATAATTGCGCCGACCATTAACAAGAATGAAGCCGAATAGTTGCTGAAAAGAAGTTCGGGATGAATTACTGCAAGTAAGACTGCGCTCTACGTTCGCGGAAAAATCTTCGTGAGTCATCGAGAAATCGCCTCCTCCCGTGATTAGCATCGATAATGACACCGATGACGCGGAAAGGAAAGATTCGTTAACGCGGTACTTAACTCGTACGTAACAATATTATTAAAATTGAGACCGCTGCAACCCTCTCTGTACTTAAAACTCTATGTTATACATATATTCAATGGATAATCGCTAGACTTAGTCGAGCATGTGCCTATACTTCGTCGATATCTTCTCTCGATAAGGATGGACGAGTGCACAGTTGCGCTCGATTAACTATGGACACATGCCATCTTCGTTTATACGTCCCCTCCACGAGACTTAATCCTTTTAAAGTTGAGTTTTTCAAAATAGAACCAAAGCGTAATTTCGTCGGGCAGAAAATAGAACTTCCCTATTTTCTCCATCATTTTCTCACGATTCCCTGCGTCCCACACACATACTTCGAGCGAGGCGACGAAAAACGCGTTTACGACCCCTACTCTCAAAGGATTAAGTCCGTCCCTTCGATCAATCTTCGAGGCTCGGTTCGCCAAGGTTCGTTTAAACGCTTAGTATTATCTACGTCTTCTTTTGTGTCGACGTTTTGGGTCCTACAGGTTTATTGTTATCGTTTGAAAGAGTTCTCGTAGCCCTGGTATCGCGATTGCCTTCCCTTCCGTCGCGTTCTCCGCCCTTCGAGAATGATATGTTCGGCCATCGGAAACGCGTAGGCCGTCGAACAAATGGATGGATTGATCGGAATTAATTAAACGATCCCAAATTCCGTCGTCCTCAACTGCTGAACGAGTTCCTCCGTCGAGCAATGCGTCCAGTTGCCGCGAACTTCGACGAATCTCGCGTACTTGCGACCGAACTTCGAGAAACGAGACGCTTAGAGCGTGTTCCGCGCAATTGCGAACATAGCTTTGGATTTAGACAATCTTCATCCGACTCCTACTCTTCGAAAAAGAACGCTGGATTTCGGATAGTGAACGGTCGAGTAGAAATAAATTTGTTCAGAAATCTTATCAAGCAGCAGAGACCCTCAGTCGATCAACGAATTCAAAGCAGAAACAAAGAAATAGAACTATATAGAAAATTCAGTATATATTTAATTTTGATCGTATTTTTAAATATTTTTATTCCTTTCTTTTTATAAAATATTAAACTTTCAACTTATTTTGCGATTGATAATCGTAATTGTCGTGGACTGAGAACCACTGCCCCGAGTGGAGCTCGGTTAATTGCGTGACACGAATAATTTCAGGATAGGGTAAATAAAACCGTAGCAGGGAGCTATTAACCGCGTACCTGCGACATAATTATAGTTACAGAGAATGACGTTTAACTTGCTTACGCGGCACTCAATTCGAGCAACGAAAGCCGCGAGAATGGAACGACAAGTGTTCCGAGGCGCAAAGGTATCGAAACAATTTAAAAAAGGAGAATGGTAATGTACATTGTTACGGAATTAGGCCTGCGACATTGTTCGACCATCGCGTTTCTAAGGTAAATGATAAAAATACAAAGTGACGTTCGATCGTCGCGATCTTGCGGTCACGTTTCGGAGATTAAAGCGTCTCATCTGCTCGGATTAAACGAGGATCGTCTCGTTACTGTCCAACGGGACACGTTCATCTTCGTTCTCGCCATCGCAAAAGTTATACCCGACGCTGTGAACTATATCGAGCGTCGAGGACCAAATTTCTACTCGTTGTCACCGCAAACTAATAGTAAATCTCGCATGCACGATCGTCGAATCGGAATCGAGACGGTCGAAGGAAAAAGATTTCGTGTGTACCGTACAACGAGAAAGGATAGCAAACAAATTCACGTTATACACATATGCGATATAATACCTCGTCTCGTTGGACAAAATATAGTTACACGAGTATAACTTTCGAAACCACATAGAAATTCGTCAATTTTATACAGATTTATTTTCTGCAACGTCTCGTCTTGAGATTAATGTCTTTTAGTCCTGTTATCCATGTGTGGGTGACGTAGGAGTCAATGTGTTAAGCTTCTTGCATAAACGTTGCTCGTCGAACGAAAGTATTCAATAAGGGATCTTAAAAGGGTTGATAATCACCCAACCGTGGATAGCGGAGCTGAACTTTAAAAGTGGCTGAAGTGGAAAACCCCGGCCTTTCCATCCGATGATCTCCATCGAGATTCGACCAGAACCGCCTCGTACGAGCCTTTCGACGGAAGGATATCGCTACTCGACGAAGCTCTGCCTAGTGATGGGAACGATACTTCTCGATCATAGCCAAATTCAACTTTCATTTATATTAAAAATTATAATTCGGGCTGATCCAGACCGTTTTATTCATCGACAACCATTGAAATCTCAATAGAATTTAAAATAACAGTTGACTTTTATTTTTTTTTTAATTCTATTCGAAAATCACTGTCATCTTAACGCTTCCGTAAAACATAGACACCTTACCATATTCTAAGGTTAACGATGGACGATTCGAATAAACATACTTACGAATATATAAAAATACCGAAGAGTAAACTACACGCTGGAAGGACTTTAATCTCGAGCGATGAAAAAAATAGGTCAAAACTAGCTTTGACCATACTTAGAACATTTGTTTCTGTTTACTAGAGTATCGATTATCGATAGCTGCTTTGTCGTCAAGGTACTGACACCGCCTAGCAATATATCCGGCGCGTATCGATGTTACGCGTCGATACCAAACGCTTTAACCCTTCGATCCGTTAACACGCTTCCGAGTACTCAATCGTCCAACGATCGTTGATAAGTTTCGCATCAGTCCCATCACTGGCAACGTCCGTCGTCGGCGAACAATCGTTTCCATGCGTTACGTCTCGCGACGTCGTTATCACAACTTTATTATATCACTCAAATGAAAAAATAAAACTTTCTGAAACGCAACTCTGCTCGTAGCCGCCCTCCGAGGGCTAATTACACACTCTCGACGCCCGCCGGCTATGAAACGCCTCGCTCACGAGGATAACGTTGTTACCCGAGACTTCGTCGAGGAAGGAAGACGACATTCTCTGGGCGAAACCTCGTCGCGACTCAAATAACTGGGTCCCTTCGGAAAATATGTCGCGAACAAAGTTCGTTGGAAACGGTTACTCGACTCCGTGTCTCCGTCACACCCGATCGAGATTAAAAAATAAATCAACCAACTACGAAAGGAATCACGAAGGATCTAATAACCAAAAACCTTGATAAAATTGTCACGTTCTTCCTCGATCCTAGTCGCTAGACTAAACACGCCGTTTCATCCCCAGCAAGCTACACCCCCCCAGAGACGGGCAAAACTCTCATCCAGATGCAACATTCTGAATAACGAACAAACAACAAGAAAGGTGGGCGAACTTTCTTAATCAGACGTCGATGTATTTTAAATAAGCTTCGCGTGCCATTTGCATTTGCCCTAAAAAGCTTATATCACAGTACACCGCGCGTACAAAAGGCGAACGACCTTTTACCCGTTGTTCGTTCCGGTAAAAATCACGATCGAAATTATATAAATTATCGTTCAATCGAAATTTCCATTCCATGTTTGTTGTTCGAACGAAATTCTGCCCATCTCTGGCTGAACCGTACCTTTCCTTACTCCTGGTGGCCGTGTTCACCGTCGTCGCCGTCGAAACTAGAGCGCTTTCAGCAGGGCGATCACTCCGAGCAACCAAACCGTCCCGTACTCCTGGATTCTCGAGGATCCAGCGGCGATGATCAGATTCGGCCCGGTCCAATCCGCGTCCGAGTCGTCCAGACACTCGAACTCGCAGCAACGCTCGCCGACTCGAAACCTCTCGCATTTCTGGAGCATAAGATCGATTGGTCGGTCAATCACCACGCAACGATGCCTCCGCTCACGGAAATCCAGGTCACGATAATGGGGAACGGACAAAACAAGACGTTATTTTCCAGTCTTTAACCCTTTCGCTTCGAAGAACGTCGAAATTTCCATATACGAAAAATCAACAATAACGAAATCGCGCGGAATGCATCGTTTTCGAGAAAATTTCATTTAAATATCTAGCGTTACGAACAGACGGTTCTCCATCCCGTTGGAAGTATTTTAAATTGCATCGCGGCCGAATCGAGAATCCGATAGGAAAGAAAGCGTGAATGTCAAGAAATTCCGATATCGTCGATGCGAATATATTTTTTTCTCATGCGAGAATTCTCTGAAGTTGGCGCTATAACGTTCGAATTGAGCTCGATTAAAAGACGATCGGTACCGAGATCGCCTGACTTTTTTTTTTTTGCGAAATTCTTTCGAACGCGCAAAATTCTCTTCAAGCTTTTCCAGTTTTCTACTAATCCAATTTCCACGTTCGTGTAAATTCAAAAACACATTTTCGCTCGCAATTTTGCCTTTCGAAGCAAACGAAGAGCTAATTCGAAAACGTTTCTCTATTCAGCCAAAAATGGAAAAGCTACAGTCATATTCGAGAATCATTTTATAACATTTTTACTCGATGGAGTCTTCTTCGGTATTACGAAAGAAAATTAAAAGAAAATTAGCGATTTCTAATGGACTCGCGCAGCTTTTGCGGAATTAATTAGCCGGCTATGAATCGTTACGAACGTTCCTGGGTTTGACACGCTGCTTCCAACGGTGGTTAAACATGAAACGATCAATTCTCTTTGTGCATCGGATGGAATAATATCGAAAGACCTGCGAGGGAAGTTTGCGTTTACGAGACCCTTGTTTCAGAGGTCGTATGTAAGACAAGTGTTCTAAACGGGTCACGTTGTACAGTAAAATTCGTCAAGAAAAAGATTCACTCATGAGCTAATAAACACTGCTACTCCCGATATTCATCCGTCAGCCATTGTTGGTTACGAATCTCGAGGCGTATTCCCAAATGTTCCAAAGGCATTATGCGAGTATCCAGCATAATCAATCGCATCGGTGCACACGTCATTCATCTTCCCGGTATATTATCGCGAAGACAAGATATCGATGTCGAGATGTGCATTCAAGAGAATAACGTTTTCAGGCCGTTGGGTACTCAAAAGTAAACTCGAGTGGCAACACATGGGCGCACACGCACCCACACACCGTTGTCGACACCTATGGATACTTGGCTCGAAGCCTGCACTTCGCTTTAAGCTAACTCTGAACACGGACGGATCTCTGGATACCGAGTGGCGGGATTGTCCGTACGGACAAGAAGAAATAAAACTGTTCGAAACATATCAGGCCGTTCTGTGTACCTGTTTCCCGCCCCCAAAAAGGCTCGACGCTGCCGCCGTTGCTGCAGTCCGCACAATTCATCCGCAGTGGCCTCGTATCTTGTTGTGCATTTAATCGTCGACAATTGAGCGAAATTAATCGCAGTCGAAGCGATGGAACATGTGCAGGATGCGGAAAAGAAATGCAAATAGGGGTGGGCCGTCGAGGGATATTCTTCGCTGCCAGAAAGTTTCAGAAAGAGCCCTATTGTCCGTCAGGCACAATGGACACATTGCCTGGCATATGAGAGACGTTCCAAATTAAAAATAAATATATCGTCCATCTTAAATTACGAACCCAAAAAAAAAATCGAACAAACACGAAAGCAGAAAGTTTCATCGAACTCGAGCCCGGTTCGTGCGTCGTGTTTTATCCTCAGGACGAGTGTGCTACCAAAGTAGGACGGTCTATTTCGAAGCGAGCCGTGTAATAAAAACCACGGTGGAAAAAGACTGACAGCCACGGCGATAATCAAGAATTTAAAAGTGTAGCGAAAGGGTTACGCGAACGATGGGAATTTACGATGACGGGTGCGCTAAGCACCGCAATATCGCGTTCTATTTTCGTGGAAACTGGCACGAAGACGCAAGGAACTGCTCGACGAAATCGGCCGAGCCAAAGCGTATCGTGCAGGTATCGCGGGCTCTGCGTCGACGGGCACGCAACTGCCAGTTTCGTCGTTTCTTGTAAACGGTAGAAAGATATTGCAATTGCGCGAGATTACCATAAAACTCGTCGCATGCTGGGGGGCTGCTGGCCTGGATATCGTGCAACTGGAACAACACGCGTACTACGTGATTCGGAGGCGTTTAAGCGGAAGTTGAACGATCGCACCCAGCCAAGATAGCGAACCCTACTCCGCCATTTTCAGCTTTATACGGAGATATTTGTCGTTTTTTTCTTGTCGCGACAAAACTATGTAATAAAAGGGAATCGTTTGAGATTGCTAAGCAACAAGTAGAAATACTTCTCGTTCGAGAATTTCAATCTTCGTTTACGAAAATGTTAAAAATATTTAACACGCACGCATTTCGTTCGCGCGTGATCCAAACGCCCACGTTAAAGTATGATTATTCAACGTTTTGCCTTTTAAAGCTCGGCGTCCATATATTTTCATGAATATTCATATCGAAGAGAAAGAAATCAGTATCATACATATTTTCAATGATGCGACGTCACGGGTGTACGTTTTGTCGAATTAATCGACTGCGCAGAGAAATTTTGATAAAATCCGTCTGACATTCGTTAAAACGTATCGCGAAGCGCGTAAATGTCAAAGTAATTCGACATCGGACTGTCCACGATTAATTTGAAAGATTTGCTTTTCACACGAAACGAAATCACGTGTTTAGGTGTAATACGCCGTTAGCTGTGACGTTGTGACTGTGTGCTCCATATCGATCTTGCACCTTTTTCCACGCAAACACGGGAATTGCGTCTCAAATTGAATTCACGGTCCCAACATACCGGCGCTGAAGCTTATCCCTACAAATTGTTTAAAAACGACGAAGCCTGATGAGATTGAAATATGTTAGATACTATTGACGTCACCATTTACATCACGAATACATTCCCTCCTATGGAACCGTTAAATGAAACAATTACAAACGGTTCGAGACTTATCGAGACGCGCAACTGGTACATCGATGTGCGTTGATATAATCGTGTTTGACATCCGTTCGTAATTGCTGTGAGAAATAAAATAAGCGACGACGTCGCGTATAATAAATATTTCTGAAATTAAAGGGATAGTAATTTCAATATCAGTTTGATATTTCAATGCAATGCTCCGGAATTCATACGTATCGATATTTTGTAATGAATATGCCATTGAATCGGTTCCGTTACTAACAGTGTCCAGCGACGTTTGCATAATCTCTCGATACACTTGTAATCTTCCTATTGAAAATCGGATTACATTGATTAAGCACAGAAACGAGAAACCCGTGAGAGGTGCAGTCCATTAGGACTAGAAATTTCTACTACAGTCTCTCGTTTCGATATTACGTTACACTGTTTCGACCTTTGCAAAACGCAAGCTCGCTTCGAAACGAACTTTATACTTTGTTCGAAACAGTTAGCTATTTTATCTCATTTTATTTACACCCTTTCAACAAATTAGCAACAAGAAAATCTAATAATAAGAAGTTCTCGCAAGTATATGTCCGCCATTCTATGGCTGGAGACACTGTCGGGCAATACTTTCTGCCGTTAAAGTCTTTATTGGCCACTCTGCGGATTTGAAGTCGCAATAGTTACGTGAGGCGTCGGAGTCCCGCTAGGAAAAAATCTCGTTAGGGGCTCGACGATGTCACGGTAAGTGAAAATTTAATAAAGCGATTACCAGCCTCGGCAATCGCGTTACGGCAATTCGTAAATAAGTTAGTTTTCTGTTTACGGAAACGGTGAATCCCTTTAGTCACGGAAGCACCTTTCCCCAACCGGAAATAATCATCAGTCGCGACGGTTATTTAAAATCCCATCGGTCGAATTCGCGAGCAAGTTTACAAAATTAAACGACGACATTTTCTTTTTATCGTCGCGGCAAACATTGCAACATTCACCGGCAAATATTTGAAGAGAAAGCATATAAATTAATCGAGGTTTTATTTGCTGCTCTGAATTCTACAGAGGAAATTTATATTGTGAGAATGAAAGAAGCTTTGTATATTAGAAGTTTGATAGCAGAATATATAAACATAGTTACCCTTAAAAATTGATCTAAACTGTTGACGCGAAGCAGAGAAAGAAATAATTTAGAAGTGAAAAATTTCGTTCAAGCCCTGATTTACGGACGTAAATTCAAAGAAAAATTTGTTGCTATTAAGAAATTGTAAAGTAAGAAATTTCAATATAACTTTGTCGTTTGAAATAATCATAGGCAATACTAAAAACTCGAGGCCAAAGCGTCCGGGCCGCGACTCTCCAATCGCTTTCAATTAAATATTCGCGAAAACCGAACGGAAAGTTTCACGTTTTCCAATTAACGTTTTCCGTCAAATCAAAACTCTCGACTTTCCATCGTTGCGGGCTTTGAACTGCATTTATCCGTTTTCAGTCTCAAGCTTCTGAAATCCTTTCATGTCCAGGAGTGGCAGGAACAACTTTGCGTTTAAAACGCATTTAAAACAGAAATCGACCGAATGTTGCGGCGGGGCGGGGGAGTGGATAAAAAAAGAAAGGTACACGGTGCGGTTCGAAAAAGCGCGTTATACCGCGGATATTCTGCGTGTGACGTTCGCGAGATTGCCAAGATTTAAAGTTACACAGAGACCCGGACGAATAATCACGGAGAAAACGTCGTTTCCATTTTTGCAGCCGGATACAACGACGTTTCGAGTAATTATACGATCGGCGCTACAAACTCGCACGTGGCACGAAAACGTCCAGGTGCTTTGTTACTGACAAACGTTCGCCGCGATCGAGAGATAATTTTTAATAAACGACGCGTGCGAGGAACACGACCGCGAAGTTCCTTCAGGAAATGCAAATGAGAACGCGAAATGGCGTTTTGATTAATGAAAATCTCTCTCAAAATGGTACGCGGAGTCACGCCATTCGTACAGTTTATTAGGGTTTCGCGCCCAAAATTAATTATAGCTTTTCACGACGCTTTGGTGAACGGGGAGCCAGATGAACATTATTCGTTACAGCTCGCGTGAAAAGAAAACAGCGCGATTGGCAGCGAAGACACGATGAGTCGAGTGGACCCTCTAATTCGTGATTTAATTAAATTATCCGGCAATTTCATGGGCCGTGAGCTCAGAAACGTCGAGCTTTCGAGAGCAAGACGTTCTCGTCCCCTTTAGTCCGTACGAGTGGCGAGTAATTGACCCGTTAATTCGTAGATATTTTCGCGACGATTCAACGAGCCCGCACGGCCGGAAACCGAGGGCGTCGAGGATCCGGGAATTCTCATCCGCGAAAGCGAGCTCATTAAAATCATTTACACCGGTCGCATCCGTGCCGCGTAATCGATTCCGCACGCATCGATGCGGCGTGATTTCGTCACGCTTCGAATAACATTTCTCTCTTTCGTACGTTTTTCGCGCCGACCCACATGCAGCCCCGTTCATTAGTCCGTATTTCGACGAATAATAAGCGAACGGAGGCGAAGAAACGCGAAAAATGGAAAAATTAAGGTCCCCGCGTCTAAATATCTCGTTCTAGCGTGTTTGGCTTCGATCGGATTTTTAATCGGATCTCTGTCAATAACGGCCAGGAAAGTAATTGAAAGACGCACGTTTTTAAAATCGATTTCATACATATGTAATACGATAATGTAGAAGAGATTTTACGTTATATTGAAATCGATTGACTCGATTCGGAACGCGAAATACCTTGTATTCGAAAGATTGTCGGAGCTTAGGGTTTGAAGAACGCGGTTGACACTCGAGATACCAGCGACTGAATGGAGTATAAAGGCAAAGGTAAATAATAAAATGGTTAACCCAGTTCTAGTTATACGTGTACATCGATCTCCTTAATAACTTCGCCACTCCAATTATAATAAAATATTCCCGTGAACAGATCTCAACAGAAACGAAGCCATCCTTACAGTGAGTTCAAGGAACTAGAACCACGTCGTTAACCCTATAAATATATACTGATGCTTTAAAAAACTTCAAACGGTTTTAATCAAATAGATAGTTTATAAAACAAGGCACTATTTTATTTTCAAGTAGACATCAGTCGAGCGTTTTTCTCGAAACTACATTTTTCAGAATGATAGGAGGGATAATTCAAACATTAATAGCCCGATTGACGTCATCTTATGAACGAACTTTCCTTTATAACGTGCCCGTAGCTGGAACTATGATAATACTTTCATCTTCATCAATTTTTTTTTTATACTTGAACAAAGAGCGAACTTCTATCCAAAAGAATCGATTTTTGAATTCTGAAAATTTTCAATTTGTCCTGCTTCGCAAATTGAAAGTCCACGAACGGTTACGAAAAGCTTTGTGCTTTTTAACTAGCACGATTTTAAGGGAACAAAGCATGTTTGAAGTTTTGATTGTCGAAACTTTCACGGGATAGTCTTCACGTTTTATAAAGAAATAATCGATTCCATGAACCTCGTACCTGTGTCGCCTCCTAAAGGATCGAAATATGTTCTTTCGAATGGCATTTGGAGATCCTTCCGGAAACGTGGCACGTAAAAATTCTTTGAAATCTCGCTCGTGGCTGGTAAAAACATTTCGAAAGAACAGTCCAAAGTGGGTGGGAACTAACATTGACTCGAATGGTTATACTTACATAGGGTGGCGAGCAGTAGATGGCTTGACACCACATTGGCTCCGAATGATAGCAAACGCAGAGACTGCAAACCGCAGGTCCTGGCACATAGAGGAGACCGTGCTTAACGATGCCGCCCTGGAAGTCCGTACAGTTCTCCTCCAAGGCGCCTGAAAACGATTCTCCCCTGAATACCACTGTTAAACGATCGTCCGCGGTGCACTCGCAAAGGCGAACTTTTATTCGTGTCCTCTGCATTGCAGTTACACGGTTGCAGCTGTTCTAAGTTCAACTAGTATAATGTCTTCCATATACATATATCCCGTGTTCGTCAACAGTCGAGGTCGACTGTACCTTAAACCCCACGAAGAACAAAAAAATAATTTGACAACGCGTTAAATATTTCGTCGTCGGTATTTATGGACGATGCAGAAACGAAGCAATTTTAAATTTCAATGCTTGGAATAAAAATTGAAATTTTAAATTGAGTTAATATTACGTGTAATATGATATTAACGCAAAAATTCCGGAATTTTTCCCACTGGTCGAGTCCATTGTTTCCTTAACTTCGTTACGAATTAAATTATTCCGCTACCGTGGTAATATTCGTACAACACGATACGTGAGTCTGTGAATTTTATTTTTAGAAAAATTACGAGTAAATTAGATTATGGAGTTACGGTAAAGTCCAGAATGCTAGGAAAATACTGCCAGGCCACGGTACATTACCGTGCCAGAGGCTATTTTCTGTAAAAAATTTTTCAAGAAGGTCTGGAATTTTTTAAATTTCACCCTCCGATATTCCGAATTTTCGCGTAAACATTTCACCGCCATTATTCTTTTCTATCGATATTTAATTCCTTGGGAAGAACAGGCGAAACCCCACTGTGACACGTAATTCGTAAATCTATGTCAATGTCCAATTGATACCATCGTCTTCCAAGGAATGGAAATATTTAGCCGAAGACCTACAGTTATTTTTTACTAGGATAAAAGACGTCAGAATAATTAACGCGCGTATAAATGTCTCTTCACCGTTCAAGATTGAATACTACTCCCCCAATACGAATGAATAATAAACTGAAAAAGAAAATATTCTTCTTCGTGGCTACCCAACAATGAATGATTCAAACTACATCGAGAACGATTCCAGTCTCTCGAAAGATTAATAAATAATTACTGCGAACAACGATCCTCGTGATAACGTTTCCTGCCCATGTGCAACGTCGATATTGTTCAATATATCCGGCAGAAAGTCAGCCGGCTAAATCGATCAATCGACGAAGCAATCAACTGTTTCACGTGCGTACGTCACTGGAAACTAACAATTGATGAGTGCCCATTGGTCAATGAAAAACAAAGCACGAATGGTTTTATCATTATCCAATCTCTGAATGAAACATTCACGGCAAACTGACGACCCACACGCTGACTAATAAATTAAAAGATAAACATTTCGTAAATAGAACTCTGTAACAAAACGTTTAACAGATGATCTCTGCGAGTGTTGATATATGTGTAATATAAACTACCGGTAAGTACAGGTACAATATAATTATAATTATTTGAGAAAAGTAAAAATCAATAAATACAGTTAGATCTGGGCAAAAGTCGTTTATACGAGTCAGAGATCGTAAAATGTACGGTTTGTTTCGATAAATGAGGACCGATGGCGTATCGGGAATTCTTGGCAATTTCGCGTCTGATCGATCGCAAGGTTCTACTCACTTGTCCTCGAGGGAAACATGAGAACGACGAACAGGCAGAAAATCCAGGCGAGGATCCTCGAGTGGAGACTCGAAGATCTCTTCATGGTCCTCGATTGTCGTTGCGAAAGGGAGAAGCTGCCGAGTGATTCGCAGCTGTACCGCTGGGAATCGACGAGCACCGACTATTCCAGCAACCTCTGTCCACGCACTGCAGCCAGGAGCATGTTATCTGCTCGACAGAAATCAGAATAACACGTTTTCCTCATCGTCGAATCAATTTCGCGTGGGACTCTTCTGATTGATCCTAACGTGGCATAATGGTCGCGCGCGACCTTAACCAGCAGTTTGATTGCCCCTAAATGACTCCAATTATCGCCTGGGTTCTTTCGTGGTTAAGTTCTTACACTTTGAAACTAAGTAAATATATCGTTTGAGATATTCACATTTTCTCGCCTAACGTCTCGATAAAACATTGAAAGTCCCATCCATCCGAAGAACCAGAGAAGAAACCACGCATTCGTCATCCGAACAATCTGTATTCCCAACAATATAAATTTACATTTCCTTTATACGATCAATCTTAAGGGGCCAGTCTACCTTGTAGGCACGAAAAATACATGTTTCTTTGTGATTTTTTTTTTGCGGGCTATTAAAAAGCGATTAATTCCGTGTTTTGTAGATACATTTATTATATATTTAGCTATATTTACGAATTTTTGCAACGCATAATATCTGTTGATTACGCTGTTTTTGTTGATCAACAAACAACAGTTTTTACGAACGGCGCCCGACTGCGTATGTGATATCTTGCGAACAAGTTATCCGAAATCCAAAAACCAACGATATTCTTAATGTAGATGAGTGTGGTTATAGCATGTACTAGGATCTTTTCAAAAAAACAAAAAATGGCAAAATGGCAGCTATTTTACGAAAAAATACTGCATATTTTCATATATTCGGTTGCTTTTTTGTTAATAAAAGAAAAAGTATTGCATATATCGCAATTATCCTAGTTCATGCTATAGGGAGACCAGTTCTAAAGATACTGTATAAATTTCATGTTGATATCTTGAATAGTTTTTTCGTTATTACATGTGTAGTGCCGAAAAATGTAGTTTCGAGAAAAACAGCTTTAAAGTTTTACGTCCAGTTATACCTGCGTGTGGTACATTACAGCAGGCTATAACTTCGTTAGTTTCCAGAATTTCAATTTAATATTTGGCAGATATATTTTCGAGACTACATACTAAAAGAAACGCAACAAAAAAATATTCGATTTTTTAAATTTCACAAGGTAGAAAGGCCCCTTAATCGCATATTCGTTCCAATATCCCAGGTTTACCGTAACAAGTAGTCTTCCAAGTAACAAACGAAATATCGACATCTTCGAGTGCAACTCTGTTCCAACTGAACAACTCTTCCAAGGTACTGATTTAATGTTCGACTTTTTAAGTGCATATCGAACTTGTTACCACTCGATAGCTCGTTTGTTAGAATAAATTTCGCGTGAAATCAACGAAGCACTTTGATTCGCGATCGACCCTCAGAGAGTCAGCAGTATTTCTCCTTGGAAAGAAATATACCAAAGTTTTCTCGGTTACCTTGCTTATAAATCGTAAAAGTATGGAGTCTGATGCAACAAATGCCTAAAAATTCGCAGCCATTAGATCGGTGAAATTAATTTCTCAACTTTGCGTTTATTGGATCTACTCTCTGCTTACAATCGTGTCACCAGTGTTTTGCATACTCTAGTTCACTGCGCTATGTTGCTTGTCTTATACTAATTGTTTGCGTTTGCGTAATAAGTTTGTGGCAAGGTTGGCAAACAGCCTTTGGCTGCACCTCTGCCACTGTGCAAATTATTCTTGTATACCAAATCCTAACTACCGTACTAATATGCATCACATAGATGTTTATAATAACAATACAATACTAAACTTTCATCTTCTTCTTGTGTATAGCATCCTCAACTTACGTTTAAGATAAATTATAAGTTAAGGATCGAGTTCGATTAGGTTGCATACTTATTTCCTGAACAAGTTTTCATTCCTTCTAAAACAACTAATTTCATTTACAACGTCCGTGTTACTCGTTACTGCGTTTATATGGTGAATGAAATCTTAATCGATTCGTTCGCGTTACAACGACGAATAAAAAAAATACAAAGAGAAGCTTTTCGACGTAACCAGGTCATCCGCGTTTGAAAGTAATGCAAACATCTAATATTGGACGTTCAGTTCGCGCTTAAATATTCCATTATATTAATTGGTGTCTACTTGCTAGTCGCAAAGTATGCTGCCGCAACGATTGCCTGTTAAATTATTTAGCGCTGCACGCCATTTGCAAACGTGTCGTAACTGACGCCAGCACGCGACTGCTGCGAAAACATCTGCGAACGCGTGACTATTAGTTGTGGGATTGCAGTACGAAGACACGATCGAATAATAAATATTCATTGTTGCATCAGTGGATATTTGTCGAGGCATTAATATCGTGGAATGTTCGTTTCATCGTTCGAAGGAAGTTTAATCGCAGCCACCCGCGTGTTTCTTTAAAATTCGTCTCTTTTATCGTTTTTGTCCCTCTTTGCGTGTAGAGTAAAACAATTTCCGCGACAACGCGTGGACGCGTTCTCGTTGAATCAAAGTCGTTAGAGAAGGCTCGACGCTTCTCGTTTCTTTCTGGTTCTTTGCTATGGCACACCGCCCTTTGTAAAAAGTACGTTTTGCCCGACTACGCGTCCACCGAGACGTTTCGTTCTTTTTTCAATGTTTATTTAACTACCGTTTTCGACAGAGACTTCAAGCTGCTCTCGATTAATCTCGTTAGCGGAAAAGAGAATATTTATTCTGGATTACGAGAACCAATTCTGCCAACGCTTTTGACGATAGCCGTACGCCAAAGTTAACAATTTATTTGTTTCCGTCTCTCGACGAATCTCTTTACGAAAGCATCGACCGTTTGCTTAGTTTCCATAATGAGAACAGGAGAATTCCCGACTCGAATTCCAATTAAATTCTCCGATTTTCAGATTTCGATCGTAATCGTCTTTTTCTCTCGACTTCGCCGAGAAAGTTTAATTGATCTTTTGAGAGGTGTGGGTCAAGTTACATGGTTGGTATACACGGTTCAAGTATTTGCGAATTCATTAACGCGTTTACTGTGCTGCGGGAAATATGCGATCCATATTTCATTCGACCCTTGCTATATCTGCGCCCCAAGTATACAAACTCGAGCAACTGAAAAGTTCTACAGTCGCAAATAAAGCAAAACATAAAAATTCAAGCTTCTGTCGACCACGTGTTTGACACCATTATCTTAAAAAATTATTAGACACAAGATTTTGAGAAGCGTTAAGATTCGTTCCAGTAAATATAACGCCGCAACGAACGTATTCTACGTTCTGAATCTCTTTTGTAAATACCAGATTCTTCTGCATGCAACGGATCGAAGTCGTAGCAGTTGCGTCGGCGTTTACATAACACGTTGAATCGTTTGGTTTCGAAGAAAGTTCTTGTAAAACCGACAATGATACCATTGAACAACGAAAGCACTCTGGCACAGAACTCGGGAATCGTTCGACAAATCTGATGAGATTTATGGTAAATGTAAGTACCTCTGCAACGCCGTCTTTAAAAAAAAATATGTTTTCAGTCCATTAGCGACGAGAATATTCATTGTATATGTCTCTTTGCGTTATTAACAAAAAAAAGTCTATTCCGATGATGATATTGTTATTTTAAGCCTTCGCACATCGACGTTTCCGCGCAATGGTCGATCAGCAACCTCGATTTATTTTTACGTCGCGTAAAACATACTGAACAGGATAATAGTTGAGAATATACCGTCTCATAATTCGTATGAAACAAATATTACGTAGCTTCTGTCCTAAGGCTAACAACGAGAATTTTTCTTTATCGATACACGAAAGTTTAAAAGTCATCGTTCCTTTTAGATTTAATCTTATTATTATATTCTGTATCATTTTATATTATTGAAGGTTCGTACAGCGTGTTTCGAGGCTTTCTCGCCAAACTGCGGAAGTATACTTTACAAGTGAACACGAGAGAAAAGTATTACACGAAGGTCAGCTATAAACACTTTCCTACAAAATTATAAGCAACTATTGAACGCAACACAAAGTAGGTAACAACGGCTTTTCCGCTGCAGAATATGAAACATCGATCGTGTTTGTCCTACCTTGCGTATTCGCATGATGTTTAACGTCCTGAAAATCACGATCAATTACCGATGGAAAACGATATCTTTGGATCCTCGTCTAAGAAAGCTATTACTATAAAGGTAATCAAATACTGTAAAAGAAAATAAAGAAATATACATACAGGGTGTTCGGCCACCCTTGGGAAAAATTTTAATGGGAGTTTCCAGAGACCAAAATGAGACGAAAGTCAAAAATATCAAAGTTATTAACAATTAAATTCAAAAATTTCAAGTCGTTCTGGAAAAATTATTTTCGGTTGCGGGGGTCAATTACAATCATTTTTTATGAATAGACATACCCCCGAAATCCTACTCACTTTCTAGAAAAAAATTCGAGAAGGTGTGAAATTTTACGACGAAAAAAACAATTTCAAATCGTTCTGGAAAAATTATTTTCGGTTGCGGGGTTCAATTACAAACATTTTTGGTGAATAGACATACCCCCGAAATCCTGCGCATTTTCGAGAAAAAAATTCAGTACGGGTGAAACTTTAAACGTTAATAACTTTTTAACGAAGCCTCCATCAACAAATTGGTATTCTTGATTTTCGTCGTATTTTGGCCTCTAGATTATCGCATTAAAATTTTTCCCAAGGGTGGCGGAACACCCTGTATAATATCAACTATCAGACACACTGAATCGTTTAAAACCAGTAAACATCACGCAAATACGCAGATGCGATAAACGCGATCGATCTTTCATACTGTACAGTAGAAAGTCTGTTTGTTACTTACATTATGCATTCGATATCACGTTTGTAGCAAAGCGTTCGTAGTTGACCTTCGTATAATATTTTCCTCGTATTTCCACTTATAATAATAAACTCCTGCAATCTCACAGGAAAAACCAGGATCCGAACGTTCCCGAAGAGGGTCACGCAATCTCGCGATAGAAACTTTGCATAATTAAATACTTGCACGCCATTCTGCTAATGGTAAATAGTGCTAACGAAATTTCACGTTGCTTTAAATTTATCTTGCAAAGAGAAAGCAGCTCGTAACGGTCTATTTAAAGAAACTTCCTCGATATAAAGTGAAGGACGCGATTCCACTTTGTACTTAAGTTTTAAACACGAATGATCGAATGTTCGATCAATCGTTTGCTGTCATCTTTCGTATGTAATACTTTTGTAATTGCTAAGTAATCAGTTCACGATAACCCTTGCAAAGTTAACGGCCTACCATCGAGTACGCTTTAAAATTCCCTACGGGACGGAAACTCGTTTGAAATTGCTGGGGATCGTTGATCCATCGTCTGATTAAAAAATGGAATTACAGGCGTACACGCTCGCGAGATCATGCACGTGCCCCAGCCTATGTGTTCGTACAAACAGAGCCTCGAACTGGCCAGCCTTTGAACTTACGAGGGTTGCAGTCTGTACGTTATCCTAATACCACGTCGAGTTGCACGTAGGTTCGCGTGATTGCTGCCATATCTATTATTTACGCGTCACACATTCGCGGGGCAAACACGTCTACGGCCGGCCAATATTGTTTCTGCGCTTTCGATGGCGAGAAATTTCAAATACAGAGCGAATTGTTCGAAACGAACCATCACCTGATCACTTAATTATCTTCATTAGTTACAACGGTGCAATGGAATAATCCATACATATATCATTTCAATCCTATTAAATCCTCCATATAAATATAATGGTTAAAACCTAAATGAAACATAACCTGAAACATAAACCTGATTAAAACATAACCATCGACGGCCGAGACATAAATTCGAACGTTGTTTTTAATCAAAATCGCAAATAACTTTGTAAACAGATTAGTGGTTGTGCGAATGCTCTAAAATAAACCCAATATGGAAGTTATTTCGAAAGTTTCACAATTTTAACAAGTCGTATTTAATTATTCCCGACTTTCCAAGTATCAAGGTGAGGCTCGTTCGATATCAACCCGCGAAAACAAGCTATGTCATGGCCATTAATTAATTCCGTGTATTATTTATTGTTTAATTAACGAGTCGGCGCGTTACAGTAATTGCTGGTTTCGAAGAGCAAAGTTCATACACGTCCCACTGATGATTCTACTGTTTAACAAGAAACTTTCGAATCGTATAGATACTTCTAATCAAATTGTCAATTTGATGACATTCCGAACGATCTAAAATGCGAGGAGAGTGTTACAATGTCGTCCAGAAACACTATCGGACTAATAAATACTTGTTTGTATGGAAACGTCACTTTTAATGCCGCTTCGACGGAAAGCAAAGGGTGCAAAGAGTGCATTAGAGGACGTGAACAATTGATACGTGGACCATTTGCGAATCGAGTGTTCTGCAAACACAGAGAATCATTGAATAGTAGTGAGATTTCGCGCGTCCGATCCAAGATTTTTCACATTTATCAATATTTTTAATCTTGCTTCACGATAAAGCAAACAATTCGATGCAGAATAAACGATATTGAGATTAATTATAATTAGGCAGAAGCGAGCATTGATTATAAAACTTGTAATATTTGCCAAAAAGTATATTCGTACCATAGTTTGTTCCATCGCGAGTCGAGTGCTACGCAAACAATGAAAGTTCACGAAAAGTAGGGAGGTTTAGTTTGTTCAATGCGAATTTTGTGAATTTTCTAACCGAATACGTTCGACTTTTGCATATTTTATTATTTCATTATTAAAGAACAAAAGAATTTTATTACACAATTACATTGTTTCGTACATAAACGAGCACGTTGCATTGACTTTGAGTTCTTATATCGTCTCGTTAGTGCACGCTTTCTGTTCTGCCTCAAGAATATAGTCGAGGTAAAAAGTCAATAAGTCTAGTTGGATATGGTAAGCTTTCCAGATTTATAGCTCAACTTGAAAACGTGAATGTACGCGCATAGCAAAATTTCGCAATAAAAACGAGGAAAAAGTGGAGCAAGCATATGCCACCGAGTGGAAAATCTTTAACATCGCAGAACGTTTGAATTAAATTAAAGTCAGACATTAATCGTTACGATCACGTGTAAAAACAATCGAATTATAATTAAAAGAGTAGAATAATTCATGAATTTTGATTTTTATAGCGAAAATCAAAGGTTGAAATTAGGCGTTTTATGAATGGTAACCATGTCTGACATATGCTCAGACTATATCACTGAATCGTGGCTGCCACTTAGAGATCGAGGTCAATCATTCAGCGGTCTTAATCAAGTCCCACGGGCCAAAAATCTTATTAGTATAGTAATTCCGTTCTAACTCCATTTTAAAAAAATATCGATACATTTGTACCATTTTTCTTATCGAGCACGATTGTTTTCTTGTAGATAGATGGATTCTTTCATAATAGTATTGTTCGAACTTTTAATTGGGGCGCAAGAACTATTTTCTGAAGAATTTCTTTATTCTTTTGTCGTAAATGCCTCGCGAACTACTCATTTTTTCGAAATACGAAAACAATACACCTAAAAATAATCACTACGAATTAATACGATTCCTTAACGTCGGATGAATAATGTTAAAAACAGCATCTTGCCATACATTTCTGAAATATATTTTAGCAGACTACGTAACAAGCGAAGTACAAGAAAGAAAAAGAAATAATTAAGAACTCCTTTTTCAGTGGAAAGAGCAATTACTGCGAACGTAGATTTTATTCGTTGACCCACGTTGAAGGACATTATAACAAATTCACGAGCATGTGTACCGTAATTTCAAAGTGCATATTACACTTTTCAATTAAAATCAAATCCTTGCGAGGTAGAGACGTAAAGTCTCATATTTTTTTAAATATTTTTTCCATTATTATTTTTAGACAAAAATGTAACCGTTCGTGATTATCGAAAAAATAATCATTCCCGTACAAAATTAGCCCTGAAACTAATGGAAAAATTATATCGTAGCGGCGATCGACTAATTACTTTCTTAAAATATTAGCAGATTGAATATCCAATAGGTTTTGTTGCTTTGTACGTATCGCTGGTCCCGGTACTTTTACCACTCGACGCTCGTAAACATACGCGCTGTCGACAGCAACAGTACTATATGTGGCAACCCACCTTACACCCACAACTTTCGTCGCAGATATACCGAATTAACGCTTCGAATCTGTCGCACGCGCGTCGACGCATACATTCAAACGAACTCAACTGGTCAAACAAAATAATTGTCAGAACAAAAATTAACCTGACACGGCCCTTGCTAATTAATTGGCATTCGAACTTCGTACGTCGAGGTTTTGATAATTAAAAGAGGATAATGTATTAAGTTTGTACGTAAATAAGTTTCGCGAACAGTTAGACTTACTTTTGTTATATGTCATATAAAGGGGAATCAACCCAATAAATAAAAACTTATTATTATTATAGTGTCAGTATAAGTTGTTTGGCTCCTACGTTGCACGTTTACAATATTATAGATCTCCTTGCACTCGATCAATTTAATATTTCCTCTGAGAGATCCTGGGTGGACAAAATTTATTCAATTTTATTCAAACTAAAACTTTCTTTATAAAAAAAAGTTCCACGACCGTTTCGAGCCACCAATTTGAATATAAACGAACACGTACCTCAAAGAGCATGCTATCAACGAATATAATACCATAATCAATGGACTCTTGGTCAAAATCCCTGATTTATTTCACGCGTGCTGTTTATGAACAAAAACAAAAATTGCAAAAATTACCTGTAAGGTGCATCACGCTTCCTCCGTGCCTCGTGTCTCGGAGTCCATGTGTTCCACAGCGGTCGTACTCGTATAGAGACTGTTCGCGCGCAATTGAAGCAAGACTGGTCTCGTTTCCGGGCGAACACCAACACAGAGATCGACAAAGGCCCTGTCGATCTTGATCTAAGAGAAGAACGATGATCGGCGGGCCCGAGTTGTCGCGAGAAAACGTGGACCGCGATTTGGCTCGACTACAGGCGCGCTCGATGGTCAAACAGCGACTGACTGAAGCGAACTCTGTCGCAGTGTGAGGCCACGGGCCGCGTTCGCGGGTCGATCGAACACGTTCTGCGCCTCTCCTCGACATCGGCGTCAAAGCCAACCCCGACGGCCGCAACGCACCGGTGCAACCGTTGCACCAGCAACTCCGAAACAAACCGTGTCTTCGGGGAAGTTAACGGTCGTTGTTTCGAGCGGTCCCATCCACCGACGACCTTGAATCGTCTGCTCAAGTTCATCGTTTTCGATTACTTTTTTCTCTGTTATAATTTAAAATCGACGGATACAAGACATCGAAGTTTGGTCCAAACGTAACATGCGAGGAGCCACTAGGTTGTAAGAATTTGTATTTGGATTAAGGATATGTTAATTGACCTCGTAACTTCAATTATTAAATATAATATAACCCGAGCGGTAAGGTTATATTATTGTGGGAACGTTTAACTAACAATAATCGCTTTATATAATGATGGGTTAAAGAAGATAAGTAACTCAGATTTAATAATGAAACTAGATATATTCTTAAAACAAACAAGAAAGATACAAGTGTTCTGTGTATGTTTGTCGCGTCCAAAGAATAATTATAAATACCTAAAATGTTGTTGCTCGATGTTGACGCACTGGCGATGCGGGGGTAAGTCGGTTGAAACTAAAGGCCGTAATAGAATTTATGCCGGTTCACGGATTCTATATGGTTTAATATTGATACGAAAGGGTACTGTAGCCCGATCTCACTAGATATAACTGACTATCAAAATCGTAGACGCGTAACGAGAGACGTGACGTTGACTCTAAACGTGACGATACGATTATGATCCCCAGAGTAATGAAGTCGCGGGGTTTATATACCCAAAAATCTGTGGGGGCGGATTGAAAAGTACGTTAGAAATTACCGCATTCGGTATTCTCCGAATTGTGTTAATTACCGGGCTACTGTATCTCAACGGAAGTGCCCCCCCATTCCAAAGGTTAGATACGTAGCAGGGCGATTTCCCAATGCACGCAAGTGGCAAGAAAAATTTGAGGGACGAAACGTTCGGTATACGTAACATACTTATGATCGCCGTTTCGTTACGTAAACAGCTTCACGAAAGATTTTTTACTTACTTCTACACATACCATTGCAAACTTTAAATAATACTAGCTACAGCTGGAAGCAAAATGGTCGAAATAGAAAGCAGGCCGCTTCCAGCGTGGCGCAGTGTAATTTGCTTCGTTCTTTCGACGGCACGAAAAACATAAGACGGAGGAGTCACGTAGGACACCGGTTAGCGATATAATGTGCTTCTTTACTGAGAAAGGAACTAGGAAGAATGAAAAGTTTAATTAATTGATCGCGATTTCACCCTGTACGGATCAAACTTTTCACCGGTCCAGTTACATTCTTCGCGTTCTATGGGCGAAAGGAATCAATTTTGTCAAACTGCTGGCCGAAGGAACGTAAATCAAAATTGATTGGAGAATGGAGTTACTCTGTTCTCCGTTTTTATTTCGTCTCCTCCCAGCTACTATCTAAAATTGACGTAAGAGCTTTTGGAAAACGGGTCAAAGTCGATGGGAAGAGTATCGAAAATTCCACCGTTTGCTGATATAATGGGTCTCGAATCGAGTTTCCTACTTCTTAGGGCTTCCGAACGAGTAGAAGCACATTATCGTGGAAAAAATTTTTTAAATATCTCTCCGCACGGTTCTCGAGTTTATTGCTAATATCTGTCTCGAAATCCGACAGTTATCGTCGTGAACTTATGTTTGTTTAACGCAAAATATAATTGGTTTGTGTGAAAATTAATTTTGAAAATTCGTGGTACGTCGAGTCGAATCGAGTTGGCGTGTCTGACCATATTCGACTCTTTCTACTTGCTTTTTGTATTTAAAAGCACGAATCGTGATATGATATTATCGGATATTCATCGATTTCTCTATATTCTAACTATAGATCTGAAACCAGTTAAAATATGTGATGACATTCCACTGTCAACGTTTGCAAACGCTAATGCAAGTAGAAATATCAATCGATGGTCGGACGCGTTAGCAAAGCCGTGCTCGATCGCGTGCCCGATGAATTTTAAAAGTTAATTTTCTCGAAAGAAAGACTCTCAATCGAATACCACGATTATACATTTTCAATTTATATTAATAATTAAGCGATGAACTTTTGTTTTCTGTTTCTTTAAGTTCATTCAATATTTTCTTTCATACAACGAAAAGACCATGTAATTCACGATGCATGTTAATTAAAATCCTCCATCGAGCCGTTACTGTGCTTTAACTAAAATTAAATGAACATTCACTCTTCCGATGTACCGTTTCAAAGAAAATAATTTCCGTGTTCGATAATACAATATTCATAATTAGGAGTCGTTCGAAAGAATGGATTGTTTCTGTTGTTCAATGATCATAATTTATCTTCCCGTGCAACTTCAACCTGCGAACATACATTTTCAGTCCATTTATTGTTACTGGCAATTTACGATACCTACTATTCGCCGATGAATGCAACATCTTATGCAACGCGCGTAATACGTACAAACCTCGCCAAGACGCCAACGTACACGATTCCATATTTCTTACCCGCGGCCATAGAACCATTCCAGCCATTAGCTGGGAATATTCGCGCAAGTGGTTCTTAGCAAATTAAAAATTACGATGCAGAACGAACCTTCGTATCGCGTAATTTTTACAAAGTACCGTCGCTCGTGTTATTATTCATCGTATCCGTTCGTTGAATTTTATTCCCGGATGAAACGCGCAATTTGATCGTCCGATTCCTTCAATGACGACCGACAACACGGTATTTGGAACCGAGAAAGGATAATTGGGCTTACCCGTTTCAATCGGTTGTGGTTAATTGGCGGCAACGGTAATAAATCAATATCCATCCGGGTAATAATTGAGTACTCGTCCAGGTATAGGTTTAGCACGAAATCCTAGTATCACAGTTCGACAGAAACCTATCGAAACTCAATATCGATTTTGTTACGCAAAGGACCCCGCACAGATCTCATGGAAAATGGCGCCCGGTTAAATTAGGTGAACTTTTGATATGATGTAGTTCATTATGTCTTGATGAAAAGTTTCAATGGGCCTAAGCTCGTAAATTGAACAGTTTCCGAGATATAGGTGATCAAAAGTCAATAATAGTGCGCCTTATTCTAGACTACCACGTTTGAGCATATTTAAGTGTAAGAAGCACTGTTGTACACTGTCCATTTATTTGACCCCTTAAAACTCAAAAGTACTACCGTGGGCCCTTAAATATTACCCCTTGATCCCCTGACCCTCTGACTCCCCTTCAAAAAAACGCCAAAAAGGTACAAAATGGTTCTCTTTTTCAATGTACAAACATGATGCACCGTCGACATTAGCATTACCCAGTGTGCATCACAAAGAGGTTGCTCGATCGGATATTGCACACCATGTAGCCCTGAAAAGGGCCGTTTTTATAGTTCTCTCTATTCGGCCATAAGAATTTCAACATTCATATTGTCTTGATGCCCTCTATTAGGGGCATCTATGGTCGTATTTAGAAGAGTGACATCCGAATATTTGGCATGCCTTTGATGACGAGCAAATCCTAAAAACCTTAACACACTTGCAATATGTGCGCATGTACCCAATATTTTGGCACCAGATTGACAGGTGCAGTAGTAACCATTTATTACTTCCTCTTCTAGTTCCAGTTTATTTTCGGGAATGTGAGAAATAAGAACTTGATGTTTGATACAATTCCGAAATTGTGAATAAACTTTTAGCCTTTTAAGGCTGTTATCTACCAACGAACTATCAATCTGCGCTAATAGAGGGCATCAAGACAATATGAATGTTGAGATTGTTATGGACAAATAGAGAGAGACAAATAGAGTCAAGGGGTCAAGAGGTAATATTTAAGGACTGACAGGGTCATAACAGTGCTTCTTACACTCAAATATGCTCAAACGTGATAGTCTAGAATAAGGCGCACTATTATTGACTTTTGATCCCCTATATCTCGGAAACTGTTCAATTTACGGGCTTGGGCCCATTGAAACTTTTCATCAAGACATAATGAACTACATCATATCAAAAGTTTAGCTAATTTAACCGAGGGCCATTTTCCATAAGATCTGTGCTGGGTCCTCCATTAACAGAAGTCGATGGAACAGACAAACTTGCACTTTTCTGTTTCATTCTCGGTGCTGAGAAAGACGTTGCAATCTTTTGTTACGAGGGTCGTTCGATAAGTCCTTAGACAATCCAAGACCTGGCGTTCGTAGCATCGAAAATGGTTTGTTTTTAGTAAGCATCATGGCTCGCTAGACAACTGTCAAAGTTTCAGTTATATCCATCACGTGGTTTCATTTTTATTGTCGATCGAAGCAAGGAACTTCCTCTTGCATCAAGACAGTGCACGGGTGCAGACCTGTGCAGTTTCGATGGCCAAAATCATGGAATTAAAGTTCGAATTATTACAACATCCACCGTATTCACCGGATTTGGCCCCCAGTGTTTTCTTTTTTTTATTTCCAAACTTAAAAAAATGGCTCATCGCACAAACAGATGCTTATTTTGAGGACCTTTCGAAATCTTATTTTTTAAATGGCTTAAAAAAGTTGGAAGAACGCTTGGAGAAGTGTATAGAGCTAAAAGGAGATTATGTTGAAAAATAAAAAAAAATCTATCTAAAATAATTTGTTTTTCCATCTTTTTCTAAGGACTTATTGAACGACCCTCGTAGCTAGATCGAGGCAAAGTTAAACACTAAATTGGAAATTTTACCATTACGATGTGTAAACATTCGTGTCGTTTTAAACGTAAGCTAATAAGTGTTTTATTTAATAAAGACAAATTTTAACGCGCTAAGGTACTGTTATTAATTTAAAATGAAAAGTGCTGCAGCCGCTGTCTCGTATGCATGGATGACATATACTGCAAAACGTCACTCGGTAGATGGAAACTTGCCAATCAGATTTTTGCGATCGTCACTAAGAAGTTCCAGGAATGGCCCTTGAAACACGATCCTACTTTTATCTAAGGAGATATTTGCCTCCATGGTCTCGACGATCTGCGTCTATACCGAAGTAAGGAGCATTTAGATTCACCTGAAACAACATTAATGGACGTATTAATAAGGTGTTAAAAATTAATTCTCAAGATTAGACGTTGAAGATCTGGCGTCACCTCCCATGCTCACCACCAGAGGGCTACGCTCTTGTCTCTCTCGCAAGCGCTCGACTGACCCCTCTGTTCCTATATGCATATACACTCCTCGACTACCCAACATCCCGTCGTCCGAGACAGGGCCTGCTAGAAAGCCTTGCTGATGAGCTTCTCGTATGGAGATTGTCTATCTTCGCGTTCGTCTTGATATCGTCGTGATATCGTATCGAGGGGTTCGTTAGAAGCCCCAGGGAAAGCCGAGACTCTCGTAACGTCCCGCGGAGAAGAGTATCCGGGGGTTAGTTGCCGCGACGAAGAGTTTTTAAAATACCCAAGGAGCAAAAAGAAGAGGCCAGGAAACAGAAGGAATACGTTAACTTTGACACGCGGACCTGGCAGAAAAGGGGAAACTAGGAGATGATAAACATTTTGGAAAGACTTGCTTTGTTTGCTTTGATAATAAACTCGAAGGAAATGGAAATTTCTTCCGACGCTATATCGTTGCAATATGTACCGCGAGGGTGGAGTGGATAAACAACCCTCGATTGTTTTTCTTAACAATTACGAAGGAATAGAAAGATCTTTAATTTTCAGTTGCTGCAACTGTGACCCAATGCGGGAAGAATGAAAGGGCGTATGTATACCGATCGCCTGCAAATTGGACTGTTGCCATCTGTGATTGTCACCGATATTATCGTTCAATTAATAGGAACAATCGACGCGAAACGAGCCGCTAGAATGCCCGCATTCAAAGTCAATCAACACGCCCCAACGCTCTTTAAGTCCTTTTCCCTTAACTTTCAGGCTCTTTGTGAGCCTTTATTTTCAATGCAGGTTAAATCCTTTCGAAACTACTATTCCAACGCGAATCGACCTATTTTTATTGTGCCCGTCCGACGCATCGTGTCGTCGCGTGGCGTCCCGTCGAGTCCATCCTTTTCATCCCTTTCATCCTGCTTCGTCTCTTCGTTCGAGCGAGGACCCTTTCGAGCACTCGATAACCGTTGCGTGACTGGTGTTCCCGGTGCTAACGGGAGAAGTACCCCAACTGTCTTTGATTTCATCAAGCTTTTGTCAAATAACGATGCACAGAATCGCATGCGTGAAATACGAAACGTATAAACGATTAAATGGAATCCTGGCTCCTGAGATCGATTCTGCAATCTCTGTTAAAGACTGTATCGTTTACGAGCAGAAAATTCTATAAAGAAATTCTGTTGTTATTACATTACATTGATGGGATTTCTTGGACTATCAGAGGAAAACCTATTACACCGTCATCCTCCGGCAGAACGTACACGTTTGTCGAGAACATTTGATGACCCCGACTCGAAACTGTGCCGCCACAAAGTTTTTTTCGATCATACATGATCGAGGCGTCATCTAGCGTCCAAGACAACGGACTATTTCTCGACAAACTTGGATGTTCTGTTCGTAGATAGCAGTGCAATCGTTCGTACAATGGCGCACTTTTTTAATATTGAAATAAACTTTGGATTGAGTTTGTTAAATAGACCAATGTATACAATCTGAAGTTAGTATATATTACAAGTTAAATAATTAAAAGTATAAAATACTAATACGTATTACGATCAAAGAATTCAAGTTCTGCCGCCATAGCCACAGACGAGGTGAGGTATGCCTCGTTTGTGCCATAGCAACGAACCGATCGTGTTCTTTTCAAACAAGCGTTCGAGAAACAATTGACCAACGAGGATTAGTTCTCTTTTACAATAAACGAACGAGAAAAACTTATTCGGTTACAGAACTTAAAACATCATGAACAACTTAACGTTAGACGGATCCACGGATTGCGTTAATCACAATCTGAAAGAGAAGGTAAGAAAAACAATCTAGTTGTCGCGTGGACGTTGAAACACGTGTTTTAGAATCATTTATACCCGAATTAAAAGTTTCATTAACTTTTTACAACTGTCCAAATATTACACGAAACGGGATTTAATTTTACTTTTCTAACGGACGCGTTAATTCTGTATCAGGAGAACAAACGTGGTAAAGAACGCCGTCGACACCTTCTTCATCTTATAGTAGCCTATCTGGAAAATCAGAGGTAAATACTCATGAAATTATACCTTACGCATTAAACGTGTTGACTATTGCATTGTTAACTATTACAATCGAGAGCAACCAAACCAACATAGGAACGTTGATTTCATCTGTCTTCGTTGATTTAAGGGGTCTGGTACCTCTAGCGGTATGGAAAACGAGGCATTTTTTTAAGCAACACTGAAGATAAAGTAAGCATTCAATTATCCTGAAACTTTGCACTGTATTTAGGTATAACAAATGTTGAAAAAAACCCTTGGCAATGTTTAAAAAATATTTATAATTAAGCCTACACAGCGCCATGTTCCCGAGCCACTTCTTGTTTTGATGCCCAGCTGGTGTGCAGGATTGTGGTAAAATGGTTGTTATGTACAACAAAAACCGAAATATTCCATTAACTATGATAAATGTCCTAGGCATTGACGATGAGACATTTCAATTTATAGAAAAATGAACAATGTGGCAGATATTTGAAACTTAAAATCGAATTTTAACACAAAAACGAGTTCTTATTACGAATATTTTGCAGAATTATTTGACAATTTTGAAAAAAACGGATCGTCAATGCCTAATAAATATAATAGTAAAGATAACTGTAAATTTTCAAAGCAATTGATTAATTAGAACTGGAGTAATGCTGCACACCGTTTTGTAAAACATAGTTTCGAGGAAAATGCATTTAACGCGCTACAGGACGCAGATACACGTCATCGTTTGGGGCTCTAAATTTTCAGCAAAAACATTGTTCCGACACTGAGACCTTTCGCATAATGTTTTTAAGGCTTCAAACTATTATTTAAGCCAAAAAAAAAAAATCGAATTTTTCAATATTCTGGAGTTACCAGACCCCTTAATTGCAAAACTGAACACAGAAACGCAATGGCGTCGCACGCCTGCATTTAGCCGTAAGATTCACGATGTCTCGAACAATAATTAAGTACTTTCCGACATATAATAAATAATATATTCGAAAAGAAAAACGAGGAATAATTTGTTCCCGATACTTTTCCCAAACAAGCCGATATTTTTGTCGGTTAACAACAATAATAAGTAATTAACGGGAAAAGTACTAAAATCGAACGAAATGTAAGCTATAGAAAATTCATCGTTTGCAGTTTGACGGAATCCGCTAATACGCTTATAACGGAAGCTCATTTATCCAAAGACATTCAGGTTTGCGATAACATGGATCTGGAAATGATCCTTCTGGAGTACAACATTTATTACCAGATGAAATTCAACAAACACCCCATTCTGTGTAAGAGAGTCGTATCGTCCGATAACAAAAACGTAATGTAAGCAAATATTTATTGACCGAATAGACTCTTTTATTATCTCTGAAACTCAGATATTTTGTTTAATTTGTCATGAATTACAATCTCAAATTTTTCGGAGAAACCAGGAACTCCAAACAGCATAACAAGGTCAAGAATACAAATAAGGCAAGAAAGGAGACAAACCTCCAAACAACCAACTCTGATTCCAATAATGATATCAACGACGCAATTACGGTGAAGTCGATTTTTCACAACGAATGCGATGATGTACCTGCCGCGGTAAATGCTCCTCAACAATCATTATACTCTAAGATATCGAAGTCCATCGAAAATCTCTACACGACGGATTCTGAATTGCACAAGATGGCCGAGGTGGTCTCAAAAGTAAGTCCTTTCCTTTCCTATATTTTTTTTGGATGCGATACTAGCACTATCGGCTTTGTAATAACACCATTTATCATCTACTTTCGAAATCCTCCATTTCCTACTTCCACTTGTCTCCTGTTCCTTACTCCAGTTATTCCCCTCCTTTCTACTCTTTTAACTCATTCTCCTCCCCCCTCATCTTCTCCTTTTCCCTTCTTAACACTCCCGCAGCCCTAACCTCGCTTCTAGCAGTCGCTTACAACTAAAATTAAAGCTAACATTAACCTAATACAAATGAAAATAAAACTAAAATAACACGACTTAATCTCTAGTCTTAATTACTAATTATCACTATCCCATTAGGAACATCCTCCTCTCCCTCCTCTTCCTCCTAACTTTCCCTGCCTGTCGCAACCCGACTCCTCCATCCATCTTCTTTTCTTTCTTCACAAATCGTTCCCTATCTTATCAAAAAAACCCTTCATTACCCTATATACCCTGGTCCTATTCATCGCCAACAACCCTACCATGTCTTCCCCTACCTTCGCTATTTCCTTCCTCAACCTCCCTCGCATCTCCTCTCTCTCCAGGTTATACAAACCACACTGAAACATTACAAGCTCCACATTCTTCTCCCCCTGCCCACACTCACACCTTCCGTCTCTAATCATCCCTTTCCTTGCCAATGACCCTCTTAGATTATAATGATTTCCTCTTAGCCTGGAGACCAGCCTAATCACTCCCCTATTCACCCCTCTTAACTTATCAAACCACGGCTTAAACCTCCCCCTCTTACTACTGACCCAAAACGTCCTAAAATACTCCCTGCCTTTTTCCCACCCTTTCCTTTCCATGTCCTTCCTGAACTTCTCCCACCCACCCTTTTTCCTTTGGTCCAACACCTTCATCCCCGTGTCCGGAGCCCCCTGTGCATCAAAAGTAAGTCTACTCGAAGCCAGGGCGTTTCATACGTTCGATGCACGAGAGATTTTAATTATAAAATTCAATTTTAAACTGTGCGCTTACGCAGGAAATTGTGCTGACAAATTTGAACGTTCACTGGGATGACGTGAAGGGCCTCGGGGGTTGTAAAACAGTCATAAAGGAGGCCGTCGTATACCCCTTAAAATACCCCTTTTTTTTCAACGAGAAATTTTCCCCTTGGAAAGGCATTCTACTCTATGGACCACCCGGTACAGGTAAACTACGATCGTTTCTTCATGACAGCGATTAGAACTTTTGCTCTAGAATATTCACAATAATAAACGATAAACAGGTAAAACCATGTTGGCGAAGGCGGTCGCAACGGAGTGCAATTGCACGTTCTTTAACATAACAGCCAGCTCGTTGGTCAGTAAATGGCGAGGCGATTCCGAGAAATATATTCGCGTAAGTTAACTTGCGACCTTCTATCAAGCTAATAACATCCTTGTCGAGATTAGAATACCTCGACAAATAAAATCGTAATTATAAAAGGTATAGCCGGATTAGGAAGGTCAAAAGTGTCCTTAGATAAAATTCATCTAAACTTAAATCACAATTTACTAATACACGCCATTAAAACGGACAGGTTCTGTTCGATCTTGCATACCAACAATCGCCTACGATTATCTTTATCGACGAAATCGACTGGATAGCCACGAAAATTGAGAATAGTTCATTATCCGAACCAGCAAGAAGATTTAGAGCCGAACTTCTCACTAGGCTGGATGGAGTAACGTCTCAAAACAATTCGAATGTTGTTCTGATGGCTACCACTAATGCCCCTTGGTGAGTAGAAGCAATACAACCTCGACCAAAATAGAGCATTTTAAAAATAATTTGAAAAGTTTTGCGTACCTGTATACGTACATGACGGGGGTGACGAACTTCACCGAGAATCACAAAAGTGTAGGTATGGCCCACAACTGGTACCAGTTCGTCGTCCCTGATGTACTTGCGGATTCCACCTGAAACATTAGATATGTAAAACTTGAAATTTGATTTACGTCATAACATTTTAACATCCTTATCCGTTATAGGCATCCTTAAAACAAAACTTACAGTTACAATTTTGTCTCATATATTAGGAACATAGATGCAGCTTTATTAAGGCGCCTGGAAAAACATATTTACGTATCGTTGCCCGATTCAGATACTCGATACTATATGTTGCAGTCTTATATTTCACCACATTTAGATTTGCATGACTCAGATATAATTAGGAAAACTGCACATTATTCTGGCGCTGACATAAAAATGCTTTGCAAACAAGCGTGGATGTTACAAGAAACTCCGACTTGGATACGTCATGAGAACAAAGAAGTATCCGCGTTGAAAAGCAAGTATGAAATCTCAGACTTGGATTATTTGATGGATGCGTTAAAGTACGTGAGACCCACAGCATCGGAATTAATACCTAAGTACACTACATGGCAAGAATCACTAACAACGAACTATTCATATTAAAAAACAAAGTTATTTTTACTTCTCTCCTTCACTGTTACATTCCATAGATATCCTAAGAAGGAAATAACCGAAACTACTGTACTTTATTTATTTATTATCAATTAATAGTAAATCTTAATAAATAAACACGTACGTAATTCTTGTTCTATTGTATTATTTTATAAAAAGTATATTTAGAGTAGAAAAACATTTATACAATCAGCAAGTTTTTCTTTTCTCCTGATTACTTCTCGCTTGTTTCATACCATGATAATAGCCTGCGAAAGAATGAAACGCGATTGATTAAAAATGTAACTGCTGTGGAAATTAATTATGAAGTAATTACCTGTGTGAAAACCACTGATGTACCAAGACATTAACATACTCGAAAGTGCGTCTGTATCATTGTCTGGAAGCCTGAAATATTTCTTGATTAAAATTACATATAATTGCCTGCCTGAGATTCAAAGTTATTCAATTTCAGACTTACTATGTTAATTTCATTAGGATTTTTAGAATTTTCTAATATAAGCCAGTTTGCACAAAAGTACCTAAATTTTGTACTTACTTAGCCATCAACTGAGGTGGTAAGGGAGGTGCAGGCGGCATCATGTCTATCATTGAATTGAAAGACGATCCAGGCACTGAATACTGCTTGTCCATTTTTATTTCTTCCCATTCGTAATCCATTTTTTCTCCATTAGATTTTTTAGAGTTTGCAATTGTAGGAAAATTTGTTTCATCGATATTTATATTGTCTTCATTTTTTTCTGCCAGAGCCGCTTTTTGCTGAGCTATTTGTCTTTGCAAACCTTCTGACTCTAAAAGAGAACTCATATCTACCTTCTCCGTGTTATCATATCCTAAACACATTGAAACGAGTTTCACTGTCACAGAAATCTATCTATATTATATGCAATGTATTTATTAATTTTTTATAATACATTTCTTAAATAATTCTATTCAAAATAATCAGTTTGGAACCATTACCTACAAATTTCACAATACAAGTTCCACTGTTCTCAAATATCTTTGAGATTATAGCTTCATAAATTTGTCCATCCTCTGAGTACACAGCACGACAGGGTGCCCCAGTGATCCATTTCTGTACAGGCAAAACACATTAGCTAATTATTATAATTGGTAAAATAAGCACGACGATTTCAAGTTATTAACTTGATAAGTTTAAAACTGTATCTTGTATCGGACTTCCGATATAATGAAATCATAACCTTATATGGTTTATTTGCATGTCGAGATTGTATACAATCCTGTGACTTTTGTTTGGACTGCAAAGTTTGAATGTCCATGCCCATTCGTTTAGTGACTTCCTCCTTTGCTAAATTCACAGCTTTATCGTACGCCTTTATCAACGCACTGTCGTCCCAAACATCTTCGTTATCCGCACATGTACCCTTAGAAACACAAATAAATATTGCGAAATTTATTCAAACATATTACTTCCCTTCGACAAAGCATTTATTTTTGTAAGATTACTGAAATCAGTAATTGCAATATTTTTCGCATCGTATATGTACATAACTAAAATGTTAGTTTTATACAAGCTTTAAAAATATTGTAACCTCAATCCAATATTAAAAACAAGTGCCATACATTTCCGTTTCCCCGGACAAAAAGCACATTATCGTCCGCCATTTTATACAAGCAAATTCATCCGAGTATCAAATTTGTTCTCAAAAAATTTTCTGTTACATCAATTCAAGTCTGACAAACTGTAAACAATGGTTGCACTAAAGTCGATGGCAAATTACATGGACGAAAATTCTTAGAAACGGTTACTAGGGATGCGTTCTGTTAAGTTTCATTAAGATTCGTTTTCACGTATGTATGTACTACTATTCGTAAATTTTATAGTTTAAGGTTATTTGTAGGTCAACATACACATAATTAAATTTGCCTTTTTGTCAGTTACGATAGTCTAGTAATTAATATATATCGTTTCACTTAAGAAAACGTCACGATTTTGAAATTTTGAAAAACGTAATTCTGATATTTTTTCTATCGAAAATAAATGAAATATTTAAGATACTCAAATTAGGTGAAACACCCTGAGCATGTACTCATACAGAGTGTTCCTTTTATTTTGCAGATCCTAATATTTTCGTTATTTTTGCTGGTACAAAAAACTTTGTCAAGACAAATTTGTTTGGTTCAGATATGAGAATATTATGATTCATGTTTTTTTCTCGAATTTTGAATTCAACGTGACTTTCACCATTGTTCGGTATATGATGAACTCTATTGAAGGTTATGAATGCGACATGTTCAAGGCTGTCTCTTGAATATCTGAATTTCTACATAAATTTACAATAAATTCTCTTCTTTAGCTTTCACAGTGACATTTTTTGGTAAAAAAAAATAACTAAAATAATACAATCTAAAAATATAATGTAACATGATAATATAATTAATAATATCGTACGACTGAAATTAAAGAAAAGTTAGATTGGTACATGGTCGTGACTTTAGTGTACGAGCCAATCACAGTCAAGAACAGCTTTCACGCTCTTCTAATTAAGACTCTTTGTTTCAAGGTAACTTAGAAAAAGACCAAAAAAGGAAAGGGTTAGCATGCAACCTGTCCCCGAATTCAGTATCGTCAACTGGGCTGCATAATTTGTTTCGTTTGAGGGGTATGTGGCTCAATTCACGTTACCCCTTCTCCTTCACGGTGAGCTTCTAGTTGTCACACGTCCGAAACGCTAAATGGTACATACACGTGTAGGTTATATGCTGAAATTCATTCCCAAAACTTAGTGATACATATTTAAGAAGGAATAGTCAGTTCGTTGGATCGATAATTTGTTATAGTCTTCAGGTATCGCGGAAGTATTACCAGATCATAGTTATTTTATAGCGATTCATACAACACGTTGTCCGAGGATTAATCACGTCGAGGTTAGACGTTTCGAAAGGTTTAAACCGCTCTTTTATGATCGGTGACAGAGTGGTTGTGCAAACGCCATCTAATGTTTCAGCCGTGTGACAACTTGTCGAGAAAAAAGGGGATAAGTTTGACGTGCCATATTCCCCTTAAATGGATCGAATTAATGATACACGCTCGACTCAAACGATTCTGTCCAACTATCGCTTCTACACGGAAAACGTTAAATGCGTTTCAACTTTCGATTGGTAGAATACAAATCACCGATTTTGTTCTGCCAATCGGCAGACAGAAAGCAATTAATGCTTTCCGTACACTTAGAATGGTATAAACAAGCTCGTTTCAACAATATCGTCGGGGTTAAAGTGAGAAAGTGAGGGCGAGTGAGATACAATTGCATCTTCGTCAAATTCCAGAGAATGGTGGGGATAATACGCGACAGTTAAAAAGACAGAAATTGCACAACTTGAGAAACAGTACTGCGTTTGTGTATCATTAGTATATTTCCAAAGTTAGAATAATTATCAAAATCATGGCATTGAATCCTAAACGAAGGATACAACATTCGTTTGGCGAACGTTTGCAAATTGTGCAGAAGCTGAACGACGGTGCGACTGTTGCTCAGCTCGCAGCTGAATATAGCGTCAATAAGAGAACTATCTATCGATATCGAAAGAACGCAGCATCGCTTCGACAAGTCTCGGAAAGGCTGAACTCTATGGATTTCAAAAAAAGACCTACGGTACAATACAAAGATGTAGACGCCCGGCTACACACGTGGGTCTTAGAAAGACGTGCATTAGGAGACAAAATAACCGATAGTATTATGCAGGAGAAAGCTAAAGAATTGCACGACGAATTTGGTGGTACATCGAATTTTGCAGCTAGCCGCGGTTGGCTCGAATGTTTCAAAAGGAGACACGGTATAGGACGTAGGGGCTATCGAAAAAAGGGGTCCGAAGCAAACGAATCAACTACGAATAGACTTATAGACGAATTAGCGGGTGTATTGTTCCAAAAAGACGTTTACGAAGAAAATGTCTATAATATGACTGAAACGAGTTTAATGTGGAGAGTTCTTCCGCAAAGAATATTTGCTGACGAAGAACGGCCGGCGGATGAGAAGAGAATGAAAACAGAACGCGTTACCGTGGCGCTTTGTGCTAATATCACTGGCACGCACAAACTGCCGCTACTTTTTATCAATAAATACCCAAATCCGAGAGCTTTGAAGCACTGCCGACACATTTTGCCGGTAGTGTACAAAAGTCAATATAACGCTTGGATGGACGAAGATATTTTCAACGATTGGTATACCAATCATTTCATGCCCACCGTTTGGCAGCATCAAGCACAGGGGCGACGAATGGGAAAAGTGATACTGTTGGTTGACAGCGGTTGGGAAGATATACTTTCTCAACAAACAGAGGAAGATTCCCAGGCGAAAATAATTTTTTTACCACCCGATAGGACTTCGATGGGTCGGAGTGTCGTTACCGAATGTAAACATCTGTTTCGACACAAATTACTCTATCGGGTATTTCGGTGTTACGATGGAGTTAGGCAATTTTACGCGGATTACGATATAAAAGACTGTATTGATTTAATTAGCGACTCGTGGAATGACGTAACGGCGGCGAACATTAAGAATTCGTGGGGGAAACTTTTGAGTCAATCACCCACGACCGAAGACTTTGAAAAGCAGGATTTTACGGGCAATATTCAACAGGAGTCCGAACAATTCGCGATAAACATTCCATTCGAAGAAATAAAGGAATGGATTTCTGAGTGCGAGCAAGCAGAGTCGTCTGCCACAGAAGAGGACACGGTCGAAGGACCACATTGTGGAATAGAAGAAGAAGAAATCGATCATACATTTAATAACTTGGCGATGTGGGCGGAAACGGAACCTAAAGTTATTAACGTTCATACGCAATTTTTAATTGATTATTATAATCAAAAATAATATTCATACACAGACAGTTCAGCATGTGTTACAACATTTATTTTTATACCTCTCCTCTGACCCTCGACTAGATATATCGAATTTGGTATTATGTTTATCCTAAAAACTTCATCCATCCGATTATTGTCATTTTATAACGATAATGTAAAAATGCAAAAAAATTCTATTTCTCTTGCCTCGGTGATTCATTAATTGAATTTTTTACCGCATATACATAGTAGATAACACGGGGCTCGTTTCGTATAAGCTGTTCCAGAAAGTGACGGGGATAACTGCGCAGACAGTATAAAGGACAATGTAAACTGGACCTGCGTCAGCTTGACAGACAATATTTGTTGGAGGCCTCGGAACATACGCTGCTATTAGTTGCCCCCTGGTGGCAAGTCTAAGAAACCTTGTCATTGAGCCTGTGGCACGTGCTCAGTACACGTCACACGTGGTAGGAAGTGTTTCATAACCTACTGTTCAAAGAAGCTCAACAGTATCGTATTAAAATGTGAAAGTTTCTGTACGAAATTCGATTCGGTCGACTAGCATTCTCCGTGATTCCTTCACAGTTGTTAGTTACATTAATCGTACATTTATGGTATTCTAACAGTGAAGAATGGCGGTAGTAAATAAATTTCAAAAGTTATCAAGATCGATTCTCGGTATCGCTTCGAGTTATTCAAAATATAAAAACGATACCTTGTTGCCTCTTTTATTAGCAACCAGAGGAACATCGACTACGCCACCGCGTTCGGAGAAAGAAGAGTAAGTCGTTTTTCTTTCGTTTTATTTAGCATTCTTCCAGTGTTAGGTTCCGATATAACCATTTGAAGAGATTATGCGATATTATTTCATAAACTTGCTCGGTAGTGTTTCAACGTTTTGACGTTTTTCGTTACGAGAATTACAGCATTTTTTAAATAGTAGGAATTTGATTTTTTCATATTCTACAGAACAGTTGTTGCAATAATATCGTACAAAATAATTTATGAAATTGTTAACTGTATTTCACTCATTCTCAGAGTGAATATAACATTTGTTAAATCAAGTGGAGAGAGAATCAAAACAAAAGGCAAAGTGGGCGATACTATTTTGGATATTGTAGTAAATAATGAAATAGATCTAGATGGCTTTGGTAAGTACACATAATTTTAACAATTTTTCATGATTTTCACTCGATGCAAGTTTGTAAACATATGCTTTGAGATTTATTGTGTAAACCTAATTTTTAAGGGATTAATATGTGCTCAAATTTTAAAGATAATTATATCAATACGTCTATAAGAATTAACCTTATATTACACATAGAAAAAGTCATGGTGTTTTTATTATTTCCTCTATTTTATCGATGAACTATATTTTTTAAGGAAGATAGTTAATGTTAACATTATAGAATTTATGTAGGTGCCTGTGAAGGTACATTGACCTGTAGCACGTGCCATGTAATATTTTCAAAAGAAGTGTATGAGAAGCTTCCTGGTAAACCGACAGATGAAGAATTAGATATGCTTGACCTGGCATATGAGGTAACTGACACGTAAGTTGAGAATAGCAAAGAAATTTTATACATTCTACTTTTGTATATATAATATTAATCCATTGAAAATATTATTTTTTTATTGTGTTTTTATTCATGTTTCATTCCCTTAAGATATTTGTGTGATTTTGTTGTCAACTAGAGTCTCCTAAGGCCGGGGGCACACGAGCGTCGAAACGACGTCCGTTTTTATGCCCCTCCTTATCTTACAATTGAAAAGACATAGGAACGCCGATCTCGTCCGTTTTCGTTGTTTTCAATTGCAAGACAAGGAAGAACATAGAAACGCACGTCGCTCCGACGCTCGTGTGCCACCGGCATAAACCAGAATCTTTATTTTTCTTTGGTCAGATCTTATGAAAGTAAGATCACAGAGCTGAATAAATTTTCGTAGTTTTCTATTCATGCATTCACATTCGTTGGAATCTGAATGCCAATATTAGCCTACTTGTAGAAGAAATTGAATTTCAAGTGTTATTTAATGAACTCTACAGAAAGTGTCACATATTTATCAATACCTTATTTTATTAAGCAATAACTAATAAATTTCAAGAATTTTATATTGAGTTCTGCGTAATATTGACATTATATAAAGTATTGTGTTTAAGTAATCAAAGTGCATAAAATTATTGGTTCCAGGTCACGTCTAGGCTGCCAAATAGTAATGACTAAAGAACTAGATGGAATTGAAGTAAAAGTACCATCGACGCTTAACGACCAAAGAGCGTGACGATATTTTATCATAGCTCTATAAAAATTTATATAATTATTCTGATGTCAGCCACTGAAATTTAAAAATTAAATATACAAAATAAATAAATTTATTCTTTAATATAAAGCTGCTGTACATATTGTAGCATATCTGCAATATTTTGTATGTAATAGTAAGAGCATGCAAAGTTAAAGATTTGTTACTCGTACGTTGCCACTGTATAAAACTAGTATAAATACAGAGAGACTAGAGTCTTTGTTTTTAGTACATCTTAAAATTAAAATCAAAATATAAGTCATATGTTTATCATACATAATTTACTTATGCGGTAAAATTTTTGTATAGTTATTTGCATTCTGAATTTCCAGCATTGTAAATAAAGTTACTCCAAAGACAAGCTTGTTGTAATTCTCTTTTCAATTTCCTTTGTTTAAAATTTTCGACTACTTAAAAATGTGGTACTTACTTTTTTCAACGAATTTCATGTTTTAAAACGTCTACTAAATGCTTGATAGAACTTAAATCCCCATTATTTGTTCAGAATAATTTATTTTTTTCTTAACTAGGTACATACTGAATACATCTATTAAATTGGTATTTTGTAAGTACCAGTACATAAAGCTAAAACACTTTTGTACTATGCATGTTATACATGGACCCAACAAATAATTTAACTCATGTATTGTCACGTGTTGCGTGTAAAATGTTCTATTGCTACACTACTTACAGATTCGGTATAAAGTATACATTACGTTGTTATGAAATGTACATATTTTCATTTGCTTACTCTACCCAGTTCGAATATAACTCAGAATGTAAGTGATATATCTATATATTCTGTATCTTTTTATATACTATTTACACGCACAAGAGTCTGAGAAACATAGTGGCCTATGTCAGATACAACACATTTTGACAAAATCATGTTTTTGTGTATTGTTTAGAAAAAATTCAGGTTTCCTGTATTTTTTATTTTCGTCGATTTTAATATCGAATCAACTTCAAATTGTATTTAATAAATTTTTTTATTTACACCACTATGGATCCTTAGTCTCTCATATATCGACCCGACCTCTATAAACATCACTTTAACAATACTTTGTAAAAAAAGCTAATGCGAAGTTGTCGAATTTTTATGTCATAAAAAGTCATTAACTCTTTTTTAAATGTTTCTTTGAACGAATCGGGCATTGCAATGACGATTAAGCAATGGAAATTAAAGTACTCTCGACAATTTCTATTGTACAAAATTTGTCCACGTAGTGTCGACAATTGTAAAGACAATAAACACCTTGTAAACATTTACCCTGTTAAGCAACGATTTATCGAAAATCGTAACACGTTCGCTACCATCATTCGGTTTAAAAACGTCCACCATAGGCCACCCTGAATTTGTAGTGATTTTATTTAATATAGTATATGCGTTTAACTATGTACAAATGAAATTTATTAAACAGGCCAACAGAGTATTTCGAATGTGTCGAACATAATGTGACACTGGTCTTCTACATTATTTATTTATATGGATATAAAAGAAAAAAATAATTGCAGTTACACGTAATGTAACACATGGTAGCGAAAGTGTTAAATTACAATGAAAAAAAAAAATTTCAAAATAAATGCATGAGAATATCGAAGCAAGACGGCGAGACCTGGAAAGATCTAAACGAAAAAAGGTCGAAAAATGTTGAAACATAGACTACTTACAAAAACAGTTAAGAAATATCCAATCAACTTGCATTTATTTATTATTTATTATGTTATACTGAGAGGAAGTAGATTATCGCTAGTCGTATCAAACTCTCGTATTATTATTATGTATTTATATTTTTGCAATTATTTTGGTATAATATTTTGATATTCCGTAATCACAGCTGTATTATAAATACATACTTATGACTGTGTTGAAAATTTGACAAATATAGGTACATGCGTCATTTGTAAGATTAGAAAATCACAAATTTTTATGACAGGCTTATTTAGGAGACCTATAATAACTGGCCTTTTTCTTCTTTTGTTTGTTTGCGAGTAGTACATGTTCTTCAATTCTTCGATTTCTGTTTAGATCGTCGTATGTATTCAAATACATCGAATCGTATTTTTCTGAGTTTTGCGTATCGAATGATCATTGATTTTTCTTTTTGTTTTACACTTAACTAGGAAAAATTATAAATATGCTCACGTACAAATAATGTTCAATAATTCGAAAATAAACACTCTACTAATAAGAATAACAATATATATATATATATATATATTGTTATTCTTATAATTTGCTCTATACAAAGAATTGATTGTCTTTTACGGGGGGCACATACAGCAAAATGTATGTTTCTTGCCGTTCGAATAACTCTAAGCGTTTAAATCTAAACTTATATCGGTCTCCAACTTAGTATTTGTAATTATTGGAAGCGATTAAGCTATAGCCTGCATAAAAAGGAACAAACACAAAGTATAAACGATTAAATAGTAGAATCAAGATGATTTACATTCGATATAAATCTGATAAAGTTCAAATCTCAAATTATCGATTGCCACGGCCTGATAACACGTACGTTTGCATACATTGTACGCGTAATACAATAATTCAACACATTTTTAATGTGATGCGTGAAATTAAACTGATAATTGTAAAAGAAAATTAGAAAAAATGCATACAATAAAAAACAAACATACGTTTAACCCCTTCGTGCAGATGTCAGTTTGTTTCAACTTCAGCTTCTTTTAACCTCTAAATTAAGTACTGTATAATGTAGATTGGTTTTTTCGTCGATTTACTGTTAAATTGAAAAATCACACTAAATACGATTACAAGTACCAGCCTTAAAGAATAAATCATAAAAGGAAAATACACAACTGATATTGTAACAGCAATAGAAATTTACTGAAACGATGGTAAACAATTTGATCGTCACGAAGGGATCAACTCGTTCGATAAAAATGGATTCACTCTATTTTTAATGGAATGCCCTTAATTATTTGTCAACCAACGACTCAGCCTTCTATACTTCGAGATTTGAACTCTGTAAAAGCTTCTTACACATACGCTACGAAGAACTTGTAATCGCATGATCGCGCGATAGTCAGAATCCGAAAATCTTATTCTTTCGTGAAAACGAAAGTAACCTAGGACTAGAGGTTTCGCATGATTAATAATAATAATAAAGAAATGGCAAGATCCATGCGGGTATAAATTAGTTGTCTTTATGTGCAGACGTATCGTTTCCGATCCATGACAGTCAACGAGCAACTTCGATATTTTTAACAATTTTCTTTATAACAATTTCGAATATTCGGCTTGTTAGAAATCGACTTCTTAATCAATTTTATAATTTAAGCTCGTCGTACGTAAAACATTTATATTATCTTGCAAATGCCTCATTACTGTAATTCTTTCTTTGGAAACGGTCACTCGTTGCTCTCCCACGCCACTAACAAATCAACCTTACTTATTCCGTTGCAAATCGTTCGAAAGTTTCGGAACGTGCAACAAAGTTAAACGTAATTTAACAAATAATGTTTCTGCTCCAATGATACGACTCAACAAACTGTAACTTTTCAAAACTCAATCTACAACTTTTCCTTTTTAATTTTAAGCTGCTTCAGAAGAATTCAATTACAGTAGTACTCGCTTTCAAGACCGATATTTTTTCTCAGATTCAAGGATTCATTTCCTTTCAGCAAGTCCTGTTTCTCACGTTATATGCTGTCATTTTGTTGCGTTTCATTTTTTTTTACTGATTGTTGTCTACGAACTGGGATAAAAATTTTATAGATGACTAACTCTGAATTACTGATCTTAAACTGAAAGGATGCCGTAGAAGTCATGGCGTAACACACGACTTACATTCCAGCCTATAACTTTTTAAATATTAACTTTCTTTTCGTATAAAAATTTGTAAACCCTTTCCAAACACGAATAAATATATAAGCAAGATTATAAACTAAAATACTTTGTAGTTTCTTTACAAAAATCACAAGTACAGTATTCCCACGCTAGTCGACTAAGTCTTGTCCCCGCCGAAAAGATGCAGGAGTCATCTCCACGTAAATTTTTTTCTTTGATGTGGGATACTCGTCGATTTACAGGGTCGGCAACTGTGGATCTAAAAAAAACTGACTTGCTGACCTTGAAAGCGGCGCCACGTGGCAGCTACTAATGCAAATTATACAATTTGTATATCTCATTGCATCTTTATAAGAGAATTATCAATAGATTGGTGAGACTGGTCAGACTATTTTTAATTATACGTAGTTGAAAGATATTTAGAAACAATTTAAATACATTATAATTAAAAATAGTCGAAACTAAGTCCTGTTTAAACTTATTTTGATCAGAAAGAAACGGATAGATTAAATTCAGCAATACAAAAGGAACGACCATCGCTTGTATCCTCAAAAAATGACATTCCTAGATATAGAAAACAGGCGTGGCAGTGTTAATTAATATCGGGAAAGTTTGTAAATATAGTACTGTCTCGTTTCTTGCACCAGTCTGCGTCATGTCTGGGATCCGTTGGTGAGTTTTCTTCTCAAGAATCAACGGTTCTTTCACACAGATACGTTTTTGTAGTAGAAGTTGCCTCGTCACTCGTCACTGCCACAAGGTCGACTTTTCTAAAAACCCTTAACTTCTGAGAGCAAGACTCTTCAATAGACCCCAAGTCTTAGGGATACTTGCGACGGTCTCACTACTACCACTGTTTATTTTCTTTTTTTAACTTGAGAGACTATCGACTCGAGTGGCCGGCAGCTGTGTAATTAAAAATCCATTTGAGCGGTTCGTTCGAGTTCGATCGGTTTCGAACATAAAGTCTCGCCCAAACGTCTCCGCAAGAAATCTGGCCGACTTGGTTTAATTGAAAGAAGAGGACAAGTACTATTCGGAGACGCAATTTTGAGACACTAAACGACACACAGTCAGGCGAGAGAAATTCTGGCAAAAGTTCAAAATGCGACAATTCGAAAATCCAAAGGTTACAATATATTGTAATAGAATTTGAAGAGCTTCTAAATTCAGCTCCTGGAGTATTTAGATGTATTTCTGAACCGCCCAGTAGATACTTTAGCGACATTACAAACTGCACATGTTACGGGACGCCCTGTGCAATAAGTACAAAAAACATATTTGTCCCATTGATAGTTAACATTCTGAGTTTACGTCTACGCCAATGTCGTTCATCGTTGCTGCACCTTACTCTGTCGTATTCTTCGTTACGCGATCGATTTAGCCAATAATAACCAAGAACCTGAAGAGCAGAAAAATTTAAGCGGAGTCATTTAGTTTTGGGGGTAATGTGCTTCAACATCTCGTCTCCCAATAGTACCAAGGTTCTAGAACGGTTCAGATATCGTTGTTACTTTACCCAATAAAGATTCCCGAGCAACGCCATCTCTTTCAGGCTTCAAATTAGAGTGGATCCTCAAACGAGGGACTACTGTATTACCTATTGTTGATTCGCGCAAAAGGGGCAACCCCTTAAAGTCTTCTGATTCACTGTCGATGGACAGATTGCGAGGATCATTGGTCGCAGCGACTGGATCAAAGTAAAAGATCGCGGCGGCACACTGCCGAGGCTCCGTACTCGGTTCTAGACCAGAGTGGAGAGTTCGTGGGGGCTGTTGGTGGTCGCGGCGCTGCTGAGATCCAGGGTGGCCGCCGGAAGTCCAGGGCTGACGCTGCCGCTGGCCTCTCGCGGTAGATGTTGCGACCTGTTCAGCTTGTTCCCCGGACTCGGTGGCGACCTGTCCCCGGGCGTGTCCGGCGGCGTGACGATGTTCCTGTGGCTGCTGACGTTCAGGTGATTGTGCGTCGCCGCCATTGGAGCCGGCGATGAGAGCAACAGGGGCGGTGACATCGACACGTGCCGATGATGATGGTGATGATGATAGTGCTGGTATTGCGCCGCTCTTCCGTGCGTCGGGTGGTTACTGGGGTTCGATGGGCCCGTCGGGGCGCCGACTTTCGTCGCGCAGCCCGAGTGGTGCTGCATCGTCAACGGGCCGCGATGATGTTGCTGTTGTTGCTGCTGCAGATGCGGCTGACCGGTCTGATGCTGCTGGAGCTGCTGCTGTCGCTGGAGCTGGACCGCCGCCTCGCACTGTTCGCGCGCCAACGCCTTCACGGCGTTCGTCTTCTCCTGGAAACGAGGACGAGCAACGTTAGTAGGAGGCATGAGAAATCGCGAACGCCTTGGGAAACATGTCCGCGACGGGCATGCCCGGTTCTATAGGTAACGGGTCGCCAGGGATTCGTGATGGGAATTAAAAGGTGCTTACGGTAAACGCGATATCGATGGGAATACCGTGTTCGATGCGGTTCACGTAAACGACTTAATCGAGCCTTTTAGCTAGGGATGGGATCAACATTCGATACAAGCACCTAAAATATCTCCGTTGCTTTTAACGACGAGACGAGACGTCCAAAGACGAAGCATACTTTACGATCCCATATAACGAATCGATACGAACAATTAAAACATTTTCACCTTTTCCGGTAATTACGGAATACGAACACGAGTGGAAGCGTTGACTAGCGTTTGTATAAAGCTCGAGGATTTATTTGTCGACTCTAGCTGGTAATTCTCACGCGGGTCAATCGCTTCGTATAATACGCGGCAGTTAGCAAACACTCGAAAATAGATACACGAGGTACGAAAATACATGTGAATTATGCGTACAGTTATTTATAAATCCAGTTCCGCGCTGGAATGTTCACGGACTGCCGTGCAGCGCGTAAATAAAAACCGATCGGTGATATTGACCGTTTGATATGCTAATAAATCGCGATCGTGATTCCGCGTGATATCACTTTCCGGAAAATTATGCAAACACGAATGCCAGGCTTTCGATACAGCAAATTTTACACAGTTAACAACATAAAGGGTTTTCGAAGGGAAACTATCTGCGAATTATTTATAATAATATGATGAGGTTGTGAAATAAAATAGATTCTTACCCTCTGCCACACGAAGACGTTGTGGACCATGGCGCATCCACAAAATACGATGCCAAGCCCAATGAAAACCGACGTGACGATAGCCGGTGTCGAATGAAACTGGATGAACGTGTATAATATCATGCCTGAAAATATTTCCAGACACATCATAATATATACTTAATACAAAAATGAAAAATTAAATTAACCGAAAATAAATACATTTCTACGTTTAGTACTATAGTTCACCGTCTAGTAGTAAATATGGTTTCTGTCGATCGAACGTTTCAACGCTAAATTTAAAACGCGATTCTAGGAACATTCGATGTATAGTATCGAACAATCGAGGACACTTGCAGAACTTTACAAGTCTTACTTTTCTCTCTTAAATGTAATTAATAAAAACGATCCATAGTTAAGAGACACGTTTCTTACCAGTTAAAAAGACAGGAATGCTAATGAAAAAGCCTCCGACAGCGCATATGCGGCTGATGGACGATTTTTGCAGGTACTTGTTACTCCTGAAACAAAGAAAAATCAACGGAAAAAGTGAATTTCGCAGTTCCACGATAATTGAACGAGTTATTTATAAAGGAACAAGTTCCAGTCGGCCAGTCCGTCGCATCCCAAATATTATCATTAACAGAATGTGGAATTCCAGGCGTGAGGTTGGTCTCGGCGACGATTTTTTAGTAAACACAAATTCGTGCTTTTTTGAAGACTACCAGAATCCAGAATCGTATAGTAAAGTTCAATATGGTACTTACTTGTAGATTAAAATTAAAATTAGGTCCTAGACGATATTGTAATATAAATAATAATGCCAAGGGTGGCGATAGAGGATCTATTGCGTGGATCGTAGAAGTAGACGTAAATTCATTATTGCTAACAAAATGAACGCTATACGATCAGCTATTGTGTTTGGCCAACCGCAAGTGGACTAATTTAAGCCGTGACCACAAATGCTTTCGCCGCAATTGGTACTTTTCCCCACGCGCACAACCATCGCAGCCACTTAACCCTGGAGTTAATTTTATTTTCATGGAATTTAACTATAGCAAGGTCAAGGAAAGAATTAACTCGTTCGACGAGGACTCATCCACGAAACGCAATTTCCATCGTTACGCAGAACGAATATCCATTCGCAAACAAGAATGGATTCAACGATTTTGGTTCGTAAAAATCGAGTAATACTCGTAAGAACAAAAATACGCACGATAGGTTCGTCCCCATCACTACTTTCACCGATTACTGTCCGAGTCCGAGGATTCGAGTCATCGGGCAAGGAAACCAGTGGAGTTTCGACTCCCAAGTTGATTCTTTCGTCAGCCTGACTGTAGTATCGCGTTTCCCCTATCATCAGATTTCTCGACAGCGGATCGTCCGTGGAAGTCTGGTCGGACGTCTCGAGCAAATTTATGGTCGCGATGGAAACACGACTCGATGAATGTTTCCCAGCCGCGACTAATCTCTGCTCTAAGAACACTGCAGCCAGAGAACCGTTTCCTGGAATAATCTTCCTCGATTAGTCGTAAATATCTCTACGACGCCCTTAAGTATATACCCGTATGAGGGCGATTCTCCCTTCTTGCTTATATCGTGACACGCTGCGGGTGAGACCTCAACGAATCGTTTCCAACGCCTCAATTGTACCTAATTAAGTCCCTGTTTGCGAACGTTTGGTTTAATGTTCTTGGTAATGCGTAAAAATTTCATTCGATCGTTTAAATAATAATGATCAGAAACTGTACTTCACGAACAGATAAATTGTTATACTATCGTTCGAATCAAATTTTGCCCGTCTCTGGATTGGAGCTCACCGGTAAAATATGGTACGTTCAAATGGAATCAGTGAAAGTGTTTTCGATGCGAAACAGCTTGTCGAGTGTATCTACGAAACGACTGGCTCGAATCCGTTAAGTACAACGATGAAAGTTAATGAGGATCGCTCGGTAAAGATTAGAAGTCAGAAGTCACATCCAACTTACGCCAAAGTTTCTCTTCGAGGGGCTCTCGTCACGTTTCGTTTACGTAAATTCATTTCGTTACGGAGATTAATAAAAGCGCATTCCAGAAGTCCGATAAATCGTTTTCGTTGGAAATTAATCTTTCCAGGCGAGTAGCCGATTTCTTTGGAACAGTCGTCGCCGAGTTCGAGTGTATATCGAGTCGAGTCGAGTCGCCGGTTCTCGAACAAAAACGGACGAATCCTCGGCTACGTGCTGATTTTAAACAAGCCTCATTCGAACGGGCACAATGAGAAATTCCCACGAAGCCGTTGCTACCACCGTTTTCGAGGTCGGCGACCTCTTTGGATACGTTTCAAGTGCACCGTACCAATGAAATCATCCTAGACTAATTCCTACGACTCGGCTTTCCGCGAGTCGGCCGCGTAAATTTAACCTTCCGCGTTCAGGTATTCCTGTCGCGGTTCCATTTTCCGCTTTCGACCGTCTTCCCGCGAAACTCTGTGATGCAAAACCGTCCCGTAAAACTGATGCAACGTCTTCGAAGGATGGGAAGCGAGGAGAGTGACTCTCGTAAATACGCGGTGTCTCGTTAGTAACGAGCGGAGTAAATTTGCATTCGATATTTTTTTCAAAATCGAGTCACGCCAATTTTTCTCTCGACTCGATGGGGATCGTTTAAAAAAATTCCCCGACAACCGTACAGCAACGCGAACCAAGCAGCGTCGAGTGGCTAACGAATCGCGTGCTCGTTGACCATCAAGATCGAACCGGTGATTTTAACAGTATTAGACGGTTCTTTGACCCGCATTTCGCGTCCAACAAATGCTCTATTAATCTACACATTTATCACGAGCGAAATTGCCTGGTTACAAGAACGTTAAAACGTGTACAGGGTGTTCGGCCATCCCTGGGCAAAATTTTAATGAGAGATTCTTGAGACAATATCAATTTCTTTTCAAATCATTCTGAAAAAATTATTTTTGGTTGCCGGGGTCAATTACAATCATTTTTTATGAATAAACATACATCCGAAATCCTACGCACTTTCGAGAACAAAATTCGAGTAGGTGCTTAAATTTTTCGGCAAAATTAAAAAATTCCAAATCGTTCTAAAAAATTAGTTTTGGTTGCGGGGGTCAATTACAATCATTTTTGGTCAATAGACATACCTCCGAATTCCTACGCACTTTCGAGAAAAAAATTCGTGTAGGTGCTGAAATTTTTCGGCAAAATTAAAAAATTCCAAATCGTTCTAAAAAAATTATTTTTGTTTGCAGGGGTCAATTACAATCATTTTTGGTCAATAGACATACCTTCGAATTCCTACGCACTTTCGAGAAACAAATTCGAGTAGGTGCTGAAATTTTTCGGCAAAATTAAAAAATTCCAAATCGTTCTAAAAAAATTATTTTTGGTTGCAGAGGTCAATTACAATCATTCTTGGTCAATGGACATACCCTCGAAATCCCACGTACTTTCGAAAAAACATTCTTTACCGAAAATATACTGTGTGACCAGAAATGTTTCAAATTAGTATCCTTGATTTTCGTCTTATTTTGGCCTCCAGAATCCCCCATTAAAATTTTTCCCAGGTGTGGTCGGACACCCTGTATATGGTCATCGATGGATCTATTACTAAAATATACCCGACTAAGCGTAAAGAGGAGCTGGTCGTTTGAGATTCCTCGAGAAGATTACGATCGAACCAATATTAAAAATCCCGTCGACGCTGGCGAACGATTTGCCACCCCCAAAGTGTGACTAGGAGTAGCAGGCGTCCGGGGCCGCCGCCATTCAACCGGATCTCGTTGATCTTGCTCAAGCAGGAAGAGTCCCTTGCCCTTTGATTTGGTACGAGGCTTCATTCATGATCACAAGGCGGGTGCGCGCGACGACACAGACCCCGACAAAACCGTCTGAGCCTATTCAGCCCGCCGTCAAATAGTTTCGCTCGAGGAGATGAATGGAGATAAGGATCGACGGAGAAGCTCTGGACCGCGACAATGATATTTGGTAAATCCTCTCGCATCTTTCCCGCCTGAACCAGGAAGCCACCGGATTTTCGAGGCGCGCGAACGCGTGTTCCCCGCACGACGTAGCGTTTTTCCTTCTTTAATGATTAATGTGGGAACGCAGACTCTTGACTTAAGGGGTAGCCGGAGCCTCAGAATTTTATACATCGACCCTTCTTCAGCCTCGCATTCCTAGGAAGTGAATAGAGCAGTGGTTCTTAGACCCGTGATCCACGGACGCCGAGGGCACCGTGGATGTTAAGAATAATACGAACGAAGACCTTTGTATTGTCTTGTTTATAACGATAAAGGACTAGAAGTTATATAATTCTACAACATCGGTCGATGTAACGTAAAATACGAGCGTTAGAGGAGGATCCTCGGAACAGCGAGCATTCGGGAAATCCAGATGGAACGGAAGGAAAGAACGAATCCGTGGAAACATTGACCCAACAGCGGCCAAGAACGAAAATACCCTTAAAGCTCGTCTATATTTACTGGATGCATCATTAATTGACCTCAACGACTGCATTCGCGGCCCTAAAGTCACTGACCGATGATCCTTTTGACGGATATGCGGAAAATCACGTGTTCCAAGGGGTATGGTTGTCTTCATTTCCGGAGAACCACGCTCGGCCAGCACGCGTATAACAATTTACCTCGGAGATAGACGAGTTCCAAGATTAATGCTTCCACGAGCTTCATTATTCTGATTCAGGGGCTGGGACTCGGTCTCGTGGAATCGCCAGAGAAAACACAAGGTCTGCGAGACACGGTTACAAACGGTTTCGTGTAAGAAAAATGATCGAAGATGGATTGTCGCAACATTAAGACACGAGGCTGAATCCAACGAGGAGATTTCTTGTTCGATATCGCGTGTTTTATTTGAACAAAGTATCGTCGTAGCGTGTACGCAGTCGTAGTTGAAGAAAATGCGGGCAATCTCTTGCGAAATGGTTCGCTGCGCGAGCGACAAGCCCACGGAGCAACGCCCAAACGAAACCCAACGCGGAATCGCATGAAACGAGACGCCTAAGATCAACTATTTGCGTCTACGGAATGAAAGGAAAGACGTCTGACGCTCCAGGCTAGACTGACTTTAGGCTAAAATAACCTAGGTCGATACTCGAGGGTCCGAGGGGCAATATTTTTATTGTTATTTGGTCGGGGTTCTTGGAACGCCCGGTACGTAGTTTTCTTTTTATCGGACTTTTCTTCCCCAAGAAAATTGGGCAGCCTCCAGGATCCACGCTGTATATCGACGTTTCCGTAATCGAAAATGTCCTGCTTACGAAAAGGTAAAAAAGTTTACGCGACGAATTAGAATGGTTTCGGAGATTCGGTTTCGTTCCTCGCGACGCAATCAGGACGTCGCGATCGAGAAGCACTTCCGGCCAGAAGCCACGCGATCCGATCGGTTCGATCGCGCCACGCCAATTTCCGCGTTGGAAGCGCATCGATTTCCGAAAGATTCGACGCGAACGGGGGGGGGAGTTAGCAAACCGAACCGGAAGTCGATCGGGATAGAATCGATATCGT